AATTATATGTAACGTCTGAAAACCGATGCATCAAGATCACAGCTGAAAAGGTAGAGGAACAAAAAGACCTAAGTTCTGAACAAGTGGCGGCTGATACATGACTTCTCCAAGCTTACGTTCCAGCAACTTTGGGAAAACTGGTCTATATCTGAAGATCTCCTGCTACAGTTAGAAGCTTTTGTATGTGATGTCTATGGAGAAAAAAAGGGCATTTCCGACGTGAATGAATGCAGATATGCAATGTTTTGTGCCAGGGGGTATGAAGCTAAGAAGCGCACGCGCATTCCATCGTAGCCATCAGACGGCCGTTCATTGCAGTATCGTTGTCGCTCAGCTGGCCTAGGCAACAAAAACATGAATTGTTCAAACACCAAAAACAGGGTTCTGTACGAGGATGGTTGAGTAGCGACGAGGATTATTCTTCAGAGCACTGGTGAACTTGTCTCTGCTCAGCGACAAACGAAATAATGCAGAGAATCAGGGGCGGCTTGGAGCGGTATTAGCGTTATTAGTCTAATAGCAAATTTTTTCAGCACAGGCTGCCATAATCTACTGGTCATATATCTTGAATGAAACTTATAATGAAACTAGCACTGGAAAATCCTCGGCAAAAACAGTTTACTTGGATAGCTAACTGTTTTCCTGCCATTTTGCAATGATATGGCGTGATATGGCCATGGTGAAGCGAGCAGAAGCCGCTACTCTTGAAACTGATTTGATCCTTTCAAGAAAAGACCTCCCTCCTACGCTTGTCGCGACACTTCTTGTGACGCATTCATCGGACGGCCTCAAACAAATACTACAGCCACAGCCCTGAAAATTTGCTATTAGGTTTGTGAATCCTAATAGCAACTTTCATATTCACCTTTGTTTGTGTTTCCTTGTGTGACGTAAATTGGCCAATCATGCTGTTGTGAAAGACCCAATATATGCGGACTTGCTTTTAGCCGGGTCACTTCTAATAGCAAGATTCCTCCGTTCCTTCTTACGTTAGTTTCATCAAAAATTTAAATCTGCACATAAATTGAATTTGAAAATATGGCGCTTTGGTTTTGTATGTTAACAATGAGCATTTTTTAGAAATATTTGTCCTTATTAAGGAGTATTTCAATGTACGATACTTGCCGATATGATTTTGCTATTATAAGAGGGCCGTTAATAGCAACAAAAAAGAGGCTACGGCTATGGGCAGAAGGCCTTTTTTACTTTAAGCTGATGATATTTATCTGCATGCCGCAAGCCGTCGAAGCCAAAGCCTACAGTCGTAATTGAAAGACGGAATTTGTGTGTAGACACGACTTCAGAACTGTATATGTACTCCAATGTAAGTCGTTTCAGTAAAAATTTGAAAAAATGTCTCTGAATTCTATTTAGAACTAAGAAACGTGTTACAACTTTACAATCTTTTTGGGATTAGTATCAAAATTAAAGTCTGATAAGTCTGACGATGGGCCATGTTGCACTGGAGATCAAACATACCTCCGACCGTGGCCCCCCCCCCTTTTGCTCTTCTCTTTATGACTATGAGATGGAGAACATTAAAAAGGCGTCTTCAACTTGCGGCAAATAAAATCAAGATAAGACTGTGAGGTAGAGCATAGAAAAAACAGTGCAATGTTGAAAACAACCATTGAAGAGGGTGTGGTTGGAAGTAAAAACAGCGGTAGCCACGCCCTGACACGATTTTTTCTAATAGCAGTTTAAAATCTCTCCCAGCCGCCCCTGCGAGAGAAGATACTTGTCATCTCAAGAAATACCGATCATTTGAAAAACCTAACATCCAAAAAAGGCGTCAGAACAGTGGTTTAAGGATAGAGGTTCCTTGGATCCAGTCGCTATAACATCTGTATGGATGCTGCTTATCATTGCGATCAACTTCGAAGCAAAAATTATTGCAAGCGTAGAGCATTTACACCATTTCGTGATCGTGGCCCAATGTTATGGAATCAAATTCTTGGGACCTCGAGGATAGAAGAGAACGCTAAACTAATGAGTTTAACAAACAGAATACTTACAAAACAATTATATCATTTACCTCTGAACTGTTTATATGTAGCTTTTAGATCTCATTACCAAACTGTATGTATGTATACATGTACAGAACACAGAAGTCCAAATTTGACAGAAGATACAAAAATTGCTCAATAAGCAAGAAATATCAAATTCATATGCTATTCTTGAGGATTTAACCCCTTGTATCTTGACTGATTTAGGCCTTACATTCTGTTTTATAGGAGCCAGGAAATTGAAGTTCAGGCTGGCTTTTCTTATTTTGAAAACTTTGTTCTGACTTTAACTGGTTTTGAGGCCCTTGTTTATAAAATTGTTCTTATAAAAAGAGTTACAGTTAAAGAAATAAACAACTAAACTAACCAAGAAGCCAAAATCAATTTTGTTATGATTATAATCCCTATCTATTCAACTCTTTCTACCTCATGTGTTTCTATGGTTTTTTGCATATGACTAAGGTAAATGAGGTTTTTTCAAACATAAAAAGATCAGATTTAAAATTTGTTTCACTCAGTCTCAAAACCTGTTAAGATCACCTAAATAGTTAAAGGACCTGGACTGAAAAAGATATTTTTAAGGAAGTTCCCAAAGTGAAGTCTTTATTGACCAATGTTACTATGTTCAAACCCCTTCCTTGATGTATACAAAACCATTATACATGGGACATTTTATTAACCTTTAGTTTAATCCCTTGATGCAAGATAAGCACACCAAAATTTGTGTAATATGGTAGTAAATCGTAGACAATTTCATAAAACAATTCAGAAACATAGAGGTTTGCAGGCAATTGTTGTTTTCCTTCAAAGATACATGATTATCAGAAGTACTTAGTACTTTTTTCCTGAAATTGATGTTTTCTCACCATGAAGGCCATAATTTTCTTTTGCAATATAAAGATATTTTTGATGTGATCCAGCCTGTTCATTTCATTTCAAGAAGCATTTCCGATGTGAATAAATGCAGATATGCAATGTTCTGTGCAAAGAAAGGTGAAGCAGATTCTCATCAGCTTCCTCCATGCAAAGACACCTTGAAGAAGCATTCCCAATGAGCAAATTATCAAGCAGCTATATTGAGAAACTCCTTAAGAAATGATGTTGTCACTGGGCCTAGGGCTCACTGTTTCTAATGCAATAATACGATACTTATGGAAGTTCCCAAATCGAAAAAAATTTCTCATCGGGCCCTCAGTTTCAATGTTTGCAAGGACATGACAGATTTTTGAATCAATTTCTAGAAAGGAAGAATTGTTTAATGCTAACCAGATAGATTTGAGAATATACATCAAAACAGCGGAGGGCTCAGCCCCCCTCCTTGTCTGTTCTTTGATCTGACAAGAATCGTGTAACGCATAGATAGCTGGAACAAAATTTTTGCTCCAGCACATGTCTGCCATTGTAAACTGAACAAGAAAACGAAAAAAGATGAAACTGGACGTCTAAGATGCATTACAGGCTTTATGCTCATTGAAATGTAGACATAGTTTGACAAACTAATTTTGAAGATTTCTTAGTGAGAACAATTAGTTACTGTCTTCTACAGGCAAGGCAGGGTTTTTTATTGTTGCATTTAGAAATTTGTTTAAAGTTATATGTGTCGGAAATGTTGCGTTTGTTGCTAAAAGTTGAGGTTATGATCTTGATTGTTGGTAATTGTGAACAAAGTATCACCAGGAAAGTCATTTATTGGAATTACTGAGAAAGTTTTAGGAGATTGGCTTTTCTTGAACACATTTCACTGGTCAAAAACTGTCATCTTTAGCCACAAATAAGTGTGCAAGGAAGAGAAAGCTACCCGGCGGCCTCAGTCAGTTTGTCAAATGTATACCATGTGAGTTCCGAAAAAAACCGAGAAAGGGTGGTCTGAAAGCTAGAATCCTAGGAAAAAGAATCGCAAAAATAGGGTTGTTTTTTACTCAGTCAGTGGAACCACAATGGTTATTGAAGTACAACAAATTCTGCAGTGGCATCTAGTTATGTCTATTGCTCAAATCCCAGATAAGAAATTCAAGTTTTTGTTTAAGGATGTTACACTCAAACAGGTCATGAAATCAGCTGTGCATGAAATCAGCTGTCCCACTTTTCTGTTGCTAAAACCTTGCACTGCACTAATCAAATATTTTCTACCTATTATGAAAAACAATGCCTAGGAAAATATGTCAGTCACTTGACAGATTTATTGACAATTTATAGTTTCTAATAATTGTCAACTTGTTACTTTCAATTCAATTTATTTTGCACTTTCAGATTAACACTGCCAATTAATCAGTTTCAGTTTCATTTGTTGGTAAAATCAATCCTATATACAATTTAACACAATTACTACACAACTACAAATTTACAATATATATACCATACAGGTTAAAGATACTGAAATATTCTACAGATACTGAAAAAAATAACATGATTGTATTCATGTTTGATTATGGAAGAGCTCTCTAAATAGAGTAACTATGGGCCCATTAAAACAAAGAAACTTAAAAAAGAATAAAACAAAAGGAAAATCAGATGTTTAAATCAGATGTAGAAAAGTCACGATCCTCTTGGTATACATAATTTTTCTCATTTCAGGTATTTTACTACAGTTAGGTACCATGCAAACTTATGACTAGCTGGGTGTGCCTTTAAATGTCCCAATGTGAACAATCCAACCCATTTACTCAAAATTGTTCCAGTGAACATCTGGCAGAGAACTGAAAACAACTGTATACTTTTTAATGGGCAAGCAACTTAAAATGTCGAAATCAGACAAAGAAAAGCCCCTGCTCATTGGACCTGGATAAGAGTTAGGTCCCCCTCTTGGTGCACCCGCAAAAGATCTGCATGATTGGAATACCACTTGTAAAAATATAAATAAGAGTAGACTGGGCCTAGTTTTTTTCAAAAAGCGTGCGAAAATAACTTGCTGATGACTAATCTTCAAGTTGCTGGCTGTTCCTGATTCTTTTTAACAAATAAATATATTTCCCGACAAGTTTTTCAAGTGCTTACCTTGAACCAGTTCCTAAGTATCCTTAAATTCTTCGTTTTGTCTTTAGGTTACGCAAAACTTTGGTTTCAATTTCCTCATTTTTTCTTCGTTACAATAAAAATTGTTTACTTGTGGTTATCAAAACCGCCTTTCTGTGTTGACACGATGTGCGAGATTTAAAAGGTTAGAACAAATCAGGAAGTGTTTTACGAGATCAATGTTGATTGGGTGGATATCGCCCTCTTGGTTCACCAGTTGCTTGCTACGAGTATTTTGATTGGCTTTTAGAATTCCACATTGTCAAAGTCATTCAGTTTCTGAACAGAGTAAAAAACAAGGGGGAGGGGGCAGTTAAACGAAAACATTAATTTGTGAATTAATTGACGGAAATTTTATTATACCTATTTGGTTTGTTTTTGAAGAATTGATTATTCACAGAAACTTATCAATTTTCAAAGTCTGTAAAAATTGTAACTTTTAGGTGCACTACAAGGATGATGGGCCTAGATTTTGTCGATGACAACAATCAGTTGTTCAACTTGCTAATACTAGGAAACTGTTTTGAATATTGAGCCTGGATCGTAACAGAATATAAAGCACACATTTAGAAAGCTGTGAATGGTTTATATTCTTTTTTACATTGGTAACAGTCTTTTTATTAGCTTTATTATTACAAAGTGCACCAAGAGGGGGACACCACTCTATACCAAGTCTAGTGAGAAAGGTTTGACAATACGAACAAGCCTCTGTTGTTGCTTAAATTCATCGAAAATTGACTGCATTCTTCTTTAAACTTCAGAACATCTGCTAAAAAGGTTTCCTGCAAAGTTCATTCTTTCAATTCCGTCTCAATGCATACCATAAAACCATAAAAGATATAAAATCAAATTGTAGGCCTTTTCACCATTTTAACAAAATTTAATTTATTCCTGTACCCTCGAAGAGATGTGGTAATCGATAATGAGGCCCACTAATATTTATTGTCCTGTGCTTGACTATGGATCTTAAAGTAGATAATAGGGACATTTTTTGGATGCAAAGAGGTAAATGTAATAACTGCGTAGGCTGCCAAATATTTAAATATTTGGCAGTGACACAATAAATTTTCAGTGATACTTTAACTTCTCTTTATTTATCCAAAATTATCTGACTTGACTAAAGTAATGTTGATAAAACTGTTTAGATTAAGCCAAACTCAAATTCTTAGGTTCATCCTTTCTTTAATCAAACTAGACAATGGGTGGAAACTAGCTGGATGATACATTGTTTATATATTTATGTTATGTTATAAACTGATACTGTATAAGCTACATTTTCCACATATTTTGTCAGTTGATTGCACATTGACATGAATGGTTTAACATTGTAATAATTCCTTTTTTTATGTCACACAAATAGGCCATGGGCTAATTCTGTGATTTTTTTCATGTTTTTCCCCTGTAGTTATTACTCCTTTCAATAGAATTCTCTGTCAAATTGAAGGTAGATGGCACTCAGAAATATGGTGCAGTTTTCGACATTTTAAACTATATGTAAAATAGTGGCAATGGTGCTGCACAATATATAGCTTTTATGATCTGCTAGTTTTTACTCATTGCAGGGTATTTGGAAGTTGATACAACTTTTTCATTCCATTGTAAAAAATATTAAACACAATGTTGTGAATTAAGCAATTCGTTGCAGTAATAGTTTTACTGCTGTCTGATTTAAGGGGTTTTTATTAAAATCAAAATTAGTGAATTCTGCTCTTTAATATGCCTTTAAACATAAGTTTGAGAAATAGAATGGTTCTTACCCGTATTGGTTTCAAAATTACTTGCTTGAGCTTGAGAATATTCTCAGTGGAAAGGGTTGCAAAATTTGGCAAAGTCAGAGAAAAGGGTACATTTTAAGCAACTCAGGCTATGTTCAGATTGCTCCGTTTTCATTTTTGTTCAGACTGTTCAGACAGAACATGTTCAGACTGTTCACACTGTTCCGGATACATTTGAAAAGGGTATGAAAAGTGAAAACGATGAAGCGTTCACATTGCTCCGTTCTGGATAAAAAGGAAAACGCCACAAACTGGTTTACAGCACTTGCCACTGCTAATAAACTTTTCAAACACCTCACTGCCACTAATATTCCTCCGAGTAGTATGCTAACTTCGAGTGAATCAGCCATGTTAAGAAAAGTTGTTCAAATTGGCGCGGTCTAAGTATCTTGCTGTGTTGTTGTTGTTGTTAGCGTTTTTCAAAAGCCTCCGTTTTCAAAAGTCTCCGTTTTCAAAAGTCTCCGTTTTCAAGGTGGAGCAGTGTGAACGCAAGGCACAAACGGATACTTTTTTATCAGCTTTCATATGAATACGGAGCAGTATGAACGGGGTCTCAGAATCAGAGATTAGGGTCCCGTTTCTACTTTCAGGATTACACATGATATATGTTTGACCAACTGACTGAGCCCGCTGGGGAAAGCTAAAGCCTTAGCCCCCGGGGGGGGGGGGCACTTGGATACCAAAACGACGGGGGTGTGCACTCCTAAGATTGTCTTGGTGAACCGGCTTTAGAAAAAAAGCTAAAAATGACACCCGGTTTTAGAATTTCTGGAAAAAAGAACAAAGGAAAACAAAAGCTTTGGTGCCAGTTGCCATGGTTGCCAGAACACAACCAACACAATGGGCGGGCAGCCTCTTTGCTGTTAATTGAATAGAAAAAAAACGAAAATCAGCATAAGATTCAGGGGCGGATAGAGAACAAAAGTTGACGGTCGCACATAAATAATACCCAGCAGGCGGTCGAGGGGGCCTCCCTCATGGTCAAGGGTAGAGTCATGATAGGGGCCCAGCCCCCCCGGAACCAGAGAAACTAGGTTTGATTTCAAAGTCAAAAACCATAAAGCTCACAATGTCGATTATTGCAACCACTATAAATAAAAGGAATAATTTCGCCTTTTTTTAAGAAAGTCATCTTGATTTTTGGTCTAGAATACTATTTTCATGTCTTGTAAGCGTTTACTTTCTAACTGCAATTTGTCCCGCTAAGCAAGACTGATACACTTTGATTGATGAAACGCCCTTATCTTTAGGAGCGGAAGTTGCCTCACCAACGAGGTTTGCATGGCTTGTCTTGTAGTAGTTTTGAGGGTGGCGACGGGACTGGGGCCCTGAAAATTTCAAATTGTTCAGTCAAACATTTTCCCAAAAGCCCTGCATATTTGTGCGGCACGGGTGACTTGTTCAAAAATCATACTGTTTACGGTCTAGGATGGTCTTTGAATTTCTTCTATATTGAATTAAATCGTAGCATTGTGTGTGAGATCGACCAAGTTCGGTCCTGTGTTTATTGTGTAAAGAGAGGTAAATGTATTATCTGTAAGGAGGGAAATAAAAGATTGTGGTAAACACGATTGCATTATTTCAATGATTGAAGACTAAAACTAAATTCTGAAAATCTGACGGTCTTCCTTGCGACACCCTGAATCCGCCCTTGATTAGATTATATCCTTTGAACAGATACCCGGCCTTAGAATAAATTGCTGAAAATGATACCCGGAAAGACGTGCACATCCTGTCAGCAAAATATACTAAGTAACCCCCCCCCCCCGGGCCCGGGAGGGTCTTAGCCCAATGGCGGCGCCAGCCACTACGCTCTGGGGGGGGGGGCAAAACAAAAGATTTTAGACCACGCCCATTTTAGCACCAGAAAACGCCCTTTTACTAACAAGGAACGCCCATTACTCACTTTCGGCTATGTAAAGGCAGTTTGAAAATCATAGGATTACATAACGAAAAGTACGTTGCCAAAATATTACCCCTCCCCCAACTTTTTCCGATCGGATTGAGACGAATTGAAAAATTGATCCTGTCGAGAACTGGGGGGGGGGGGGGGGGACGTGTTCGCCGCTACTGCCTTAGCCTTTTCTACATGATCATCCGAGAAGGAAATCTTCGCAGAACATTTTGAAGATGTTGTTTATTTTTTATTACTTCAAGCCTTTTTCCATTTCCTTTTTATTTTTAGCTTTGTCTTGTTTCAGTTCAGATTATCGTAAAGTCAGCTCCTATGATTCTAACTCTCCGACTCTCCACATTCGCATCGCTTGCATAACTCATTCCTCGTTGGTAAGCGTTGTTCAATGTATTTCCTAGGCCAAGGCCAACCGTGGCCAATCATGCCAAACAATAAGAAACTCGATCCAGTCTTCGCCGCCACTAGATCGGTCCTATTTATAATGGAACATTTTTATGTAGAATTTGCTCCATAGACACCAACCAGATTTTGTCGACAAGTTATTGCAGTGATGAAATTTATTTTCTCTTGAGGACAAAACAATAAGTTGCAGGTTCAGCGGATTTCGCAATGAAATGGCTACAACCCCAAACTGATATTGGATATTGTATGGATATTTGTTTGATTTTATAATACCAAAACAAATGTCTTTGAGGTTTGTCCCATTGCTGGTTGTATCAGTAGGAATTCGAAAACAGAAGATCGACATTTGCTACTGTTTAAAAATTTTACTGCAAATATAAATTAGTCATTGGTACGTAATATAATAACTAGCCTTGCTTTGACCGTTATTGTGTCAGTTCATAGACATAGGCAGTGATGGTGCCCCAGAATTTAAACTGGGAGGTTGGGGGCTAAGAACAAAATTTAATGACATAGGAGGACCCCACATGTTGGGTTCGACGCGGAAGAAAACTTTTGAAATCAAGCCTTCTAGAAATTTAACAAGAATAGTAATTTAACAAGTTACTATTCGACGACAACGACGACGAATTCGACGACTCTCAGAAAAACATTGATTAGATCATTTTAAAGAAAAATTTGGGAAGGGAGGAGTCATACTAAAACTCTAGTGTGACCTTTGGTTCAGAGTGCACATCGATGTGAATAACAAGAAGCTGTTGTGTTGATTGAGAGAACTTAACTTCCTGAACAGAAATGTGCATTCCCTTGTCTCTTGAGACATAGGACGATGCAGAAAGTTATCTACTGCATCGATGCAAATAATAGACAACTAAAAGAAATATAACTAAATATTTTAGTAAATAGATTAAATAAAATCAAGCAGTACATTTTTTATAAGAACAATTTAAAAGAACACAAGTCTCAAAGTTGGTCAAAAGTTAAGTACAAATTAAGAACAGGCTAAGTCTGAGCTACTAAAATTGCAATTGTGAACAACATTTTATCTCAAAATGAGGATTTTTAGCCATATGTGGGTGTTTTTTCAGTGAGAATTCAAACTTGTTGGAAAATGAAGGCTGTCTCACTCTCTTTGTTGGCAAATGCGGCCTAAACACCTTTCTAGAGCAAAAAAGCAAGCATTCACACTGCTTACACCCTATTAATTTTGAAAAGTCAGTCTGAACATAAATCTTCTGGTTCTTGTAAAAAGAGAGTGTACATAAACAGTCTGTTCTGTTTATATTTCATACTCTGCTTTCAAAAATAGTAAAAAAGATGGCCAAAAAATTTTAATCTTTGAAAAGTGGGCTTCAGCCCTCCAGCCCCCCACTAGCTCTGTGCCTAATAGGGTAAAAAATGATTGATAATCAATTGTCAGTAGTTTACTTACCAAAAAGCATGGGATCATGACTGATGGCCCCCTGTCTCTTTTAAGTGCAGTTCATGTCTTGGATTTGTAGAAATCTCTAAGAAAATCATATTAAAAGCTACCTAATCAATTTAACATTACCCACAGGTTTTCTTGTATACAAATTGTATACAGTATAGTAACAGTAACTAAGATCACCAAGGCAATCCAGTCCATATTCCTTGGGAGGGTTGGGAATTTTCCATGATATAGCCAGGGCTGTCAAGAGGAGGGGCAAGTGGGGCAAATTTTCCCAGGGGTTCGAGGTCTAAGGGGCCTCATAAAGTAATGAACTCCATTTTAAGAATTGAAATAATCAAACGTAGCAAGAGAATGTTTGAAAATAGTAAAAACTTTCTAAAAGATTGCAAGAAATGACTGCGAGAAATATTCTGAAATATTTTTAAGCTAATCTGAAGGGCATGATCACAAAAAAATATTGCCCACTTTGCTCACATGGGGCCCGTGTTTTGGTTTTTCCCCAGGCCTCCAAAACCTCTCAGCAGCCCTGGAATAACCTTTGAATCATTAAGATAAATACCTCATTATGATTATCACAATCCAAAATACCTATCCCTTTTTGTTATATATATTTTAACAAAACATTTACATTTTCCAGAGAGAAATTTGGAGACCTGAAATCAAAGATGCCACTAAGATTTAACCAGAAAGAAGTGACATCTGTAGCTACAAGATGCAAAGGAGAATTTGACAAGCAAGGTGTTTTAGCCTTAAGAGAAGATGATGGGAAGCGCTTTCACAAATCAGAAAGTAATTGATTACCTTGATTTCTAAAAAGTATAAATCTATAAATAGCTGGCCTTTGTGTTCTGGGGAATGATTTATTAAGTTTCTGGCTGGGGGCCTAAATTATCTTTTCATTCACTACGCAATGCAGCTGCTAATATTGCAGCCTCTCCAACAAGAATACAAATCTGTCACTGATATCTGTACTGCTTGAGAAGTAAAACAAGGGAGTAATACTAATGCCCAAAGACATCAATATTAAGTGTGTTTTGACGTCCTTGAATGTATGGTTTCAGAGACATTTTCCCAAGAAACCCTGTTCTTGCTTGTCCTTCATTGCTCTTCTTTTCCCCTCATTGTTCTTCTGTGTCCCTATGAGGCTGATACTGCTGCTTGTGCTGACACTGCTTCTTGTATTATTCGATGAATCAGTTATCCCATTTTTTGAAAGTACTTAATCATTTCTTTTCTTTCTGTTATTTCAGCCAGAACCATGCATTTTTTGTAAATTTCTTTCTAGTATGGTTTACTTTGAGAGTAACCTTTTCCCTTGAATTCATCATCAATTTTTAAGTTTGAATCATCATTATATTCACTTGTTTATGGGAATGAGGCAATAATGCTTTTGAAAACTAGCAACTAGCAAAACATTAGCTTTTCAATAGAACTGAAGCAGATTTATTGATTATATTTCTTTTCTAGTTCAGTAATATAAGGGAAGTTTATTTTCATATCAAAAGATCATCAAATTGATGATGTTATTAATTTTTAGGGTTTGTTGAGAGGCTGTTTAGATTGAAAGGCAATCTTTTATTTTACTCATCAAAGGATTCGGTAAGGAAATTTTTGTTTTTTATAAAGAAACAGTTAATTGTGATATGTTCTTTCTCTTGGTTTAATGACATTATTTTAAATACACTAAACATCCTAAAAACAGACTAAAAGGAGGCTGAGCACTACTGAAAGGAGGTTGAGCACCACTGGTAGCACATTATATTCAAAATATTGATAAAATTATTTAATTATTATGCCATTTTTATAATTAAATAATTATATGAAATTATTATGCCATTTTTTATGCTTATAAGCCTGTTTTTTCTGATGTTGCATTTATCAGAATGTTGTGAATTTTTACCAAATCAATTAAATTTTGAAAATTGCAAGCATGTAATACTTTTGATATGTCAGTTTTTAGAAGTTTCCGGTGTCATCGTTTTGGATCAGTGTAAATTGTGTTTGACAACAGCCAGCAAAAAGTTTACATTTGTAATAGGTAATACTTTGTGCCATTATTGACTTAAATTTTATTTAATTATCATACAAACACAGGAATGTCAGAGTTTGCCAACTTGCCTACTCCAAAATATGCTTTTGCCTCCCTGTAACATCATTTCAACTGTGAAACTGGTTTTAGTAAATATTTAAAGATAGTAAATTGAAGGCAGTTGTTGCTATTCTAAAAACAATGGGTTTACTGATTTAAACCCTTTAGCTTAAAGGCCACAAGTGACTGTTTGTTCCTTTGTAACACTGGTCGTCCCTTAGTAGTTTTTGTGACTTTTGGTCAACTGACATTTTAAAAGAACTGATAAATTCATGCATAAGTCTCATTCATGTATAGCTAGCACCTTGGGTTGAGTAACCAAATATAAACTCTAACTATCTGTAACTGAAATTCGTTTGAATCTTCAGTATCTTAAAGGTAACACTTAATAATACAATAATATAAACAACTTGTAGATTCCGATCTTAGTGAGGATAGATATGAACTTGCAGCAGACTCTGAAAAGGATCTAGATGACTGGGTCAAGAAAATTGATAATGCAAGGTATGTAACAGCCTGCAAATTGTTTTTTACTTCAAAAAATTAGAAAGGACAGAATAGAGGATAAATTGCTGATTTAAAACGAGGAACAAATGGAATAACCCAGTAACAAGAGGAACAACCCAGTAGCAAGCAGAGATGTGAATTAATTGTTTAGCAAATAACATGTGGGGCGATTGTAATCCAGCTCTCTAAAGTTCGTATTAGCAAGCACATACACTATCAAGAAGCAGTCAATCATGTCTTCCTTCTCTTTTGCCATCAAGTTTATTAATAGATTTTCCTATGATAAGGCCCTTAGGTTTCAGGGGTTTTGGGGTCCCTGGGGTAATACTGAAAGACAAGGCCCCCAAAACATTTGTGGCCATGCCCTACAGATTAGCTCAAAATGCATTTCAAACGTTTCTTCAAATTTTTTTGCAATTGTTGTGTATTGAAATTGGGTCAAATTAAATTTTTAAGCGACTGCAATTAAAAAAATATATATAGCCAAGAATTAAATCAGTTATGAGTTATTTTGTCATTCTGAATTTTTTGCTCTCTTGTGTTGAATATGGTCTCCAACACAGGTTGGAGAGTGGGACTGGTGCACGGGAAAATTCGACAACTGTGGCAAAAAAATTTGAAAAAAGTTTATTGTCCTGCAAAAATGTGGATGCCCTGTAATGAAGGACTGCCTTAGGCACCTTTCAAGAGTTTGGGTACATTTGTTGTCTTCTTGGGTCATTAGATAAACAAACATGGTACTGTTATCATGATATTTTGTTGAGGGAGGTTATTTAAAGACACACGAGTCACATTCAGAGTGATTTGCAAGTAGATTGTCTTATTCTATGTTGTTGCTATAGATGAATAATGCATTTACAGAATAACGTAATAACTTTAATCTTTTATACATTGGAGGGATTGTAAAAAACTTTTGATAGATACTCTTCATACTCTAAATATTACCCCCTTGTAAAAATTACTGACCCCCTCCCCCACAGATCTTATCTCAGACAAAACAATTTGGGCTTTTGGTGTACCAACCCTTGTCTTGCCTTGTTGGTCTTGCCATTAATTGCCAGTAGTTGTCTTGCCATTTACTGAACAATTAATTCACATTTACACTTGTTACTGGATTGTTCTGCTTGTTCCTGGGCTGTTACTGGGTTGTTCCACTTGTTACTGGGTTGTTCCACTTGTTCCTCATTTAAGAATAGTTGCAGAATAAACTGCTTTGCCAAAATTTTTGTATTGACTCCCTTTTATACAATCACTTTAAATAGAATTTTCTGTTTTTTTTAGATATGAAGTTACCTCTCGACGACTATTGCAACTCAGAATTGATATTGTGAAACTAAGCGGAGAGGTTCATTTTGTCTTTTATTTGTAAAGTAGCAAACTTTAGCCATACAGTTTAATCCTAATATATTACCATATGTGCTTTAGATATCTTTTGAATGTTTTTATTTGTTTTTACCCATTTTCTCTCATTTATAGGACCCGTTGCCAGACTACCCATCATTAGATTTTCAGAATGTAAGTATCAATGTTCTTCTACAACTCCTACTGTGTTTGTTGTAATTTCTTGGCTCTTTAAAATGAAATTGAACCACATCGTTCTGTTATTAGCAAGTACAAGGAATTCCAGCCACTTTCCCACTGCTTGGTATTTTTTAAGAAATTTTTCTTGTCATAAAGAAATCTTGTCCCAGACAAACACCCCAATATGGTAAAGGGTCAGCCCTTTCCTTGATGTCTTTAACCATCCTCCAAGTGTTGTCTATGGAGGAGGATACCTTTACTGTGGATTACACAAGAAACAGGCATTGAAATCACACAAATTGGCAACACTGCAGTTCACTTTTCTTTCATAATTGTATTGAAATAACATACTAGGGAATAGTTCTATGACTTGAAAAGCACTCACAGCACAGTGAATCCAACTAAAGATACGAATCATTTTGTTGACAAACTTAGAATACCGAAATAGATACATACAGCATATCATTTTTTATTCATTCCTGTTATTCATTCAAACTGATGATAAATTATTTCAAGGAAGGGCATTCTTTTTTACTTCAGATCATATTTATGATTTTTGGGGCAGGCTGGGCAAGAAAGGGGTTGGGCAGATAATGATTCAGTGTTAGTCTGCCATCTAGTGCTGTGTGTTGATAACAAACTTGCTAAAAAGAGCTTTACAGCTACTTGAAGCTATGTTAAGTTAATTGTTTACAAATTTCATCTTTGACATACTGCTTTTAAGTAAAAGTGCTGATAGGGTTTTGATAAGGCATGGATTTCATGATGATGAGATTATATTTCAAGATTATATATCTTCAATATTTCAAGAAACTTAGAAACTTTAAGACAGTTAATTATCCGTATGTTCCATTCTGAAAGCTCAAGGGCCACTTAAAATTTGCCGATGAACCTGATTTGGTTTCATTTTACTTTTCTTATAATTTTCTTAATTACCCTCTAAGCCTGGATATGAAGCCCCCAGTTTGCCACACATCCTTAGCTTATACCAGCCACCATCTTTGCAAGACAAATCGAAGACATCTTTGCCAAAAACCGAGGTTTGCATTGGCAAGTATTCTGTTAAACCTTTCCACTTCAAACTCGTTGCAGATGTTTAATCTATTAGATTTTTGTGACAAAAATGAAAACAGAATTCTGCATTGCAACTTTCAGTTTTAATGGTAGTTGAGAGTTGAAACAAAGCTGAAGTTGCACTTGATTTTTCCTTTTTTATTTTTGATGGCTCAGCGTTAGTTATGATTGGTCTCTTTGAATCTCTACACTGCTCTTCTATATCTCTTGATGCTAAGTTTATAATTCCGTCAGTGAAAATTTTAAAACCATAAGAACGCTTTTTTAACCGGGTTGTAGAAGGAATTCCTATTCATGTTATTAGTTCGCTCTGTATTTTTTCATAGATCAAACTTTTACCGCATTTCTTTGATTAAAAGCTCTTTTGCTTTTATTAATTCCATAACTTTTTGGAGTCGCTTTTTCGGAGGGGTGCTTTTTATGACTCTTAAGAATGAAGAAAACAAGATATTTTTTTAAAACTACAAATAATATCATTCGTCCAAGCCAAAAAATTTCCAGATAATTTCGAAAAATCCAAAATTTTCAGGAGCAATCTTTCTTTTTGTCATTTTTTTGTCATGCCAATCATTTTCGACATCCTCTTTATTGTCGAAGTCACTTCTAGCATTGCTTCTTCCATGTCAGAGTCGGTCACAATTTAAAACTGATCTTCAAGTTCAACATTAAGAACTGAAAAAGGACCTTTAATCATTTTGGCCACGAAGCGCCTGGCTGTTAAGCCTTAAAACTGTGTAACTTGTGTTCTTTGGAACCATCAACAGGAAGGCACTGCCCCAGCGTTGAAAATGAGACAATATCATTTTCCTGTCTAGCCACTTCCTCGCTTTAATGATTTATCGCAGAACTATCTGACGAGGAAGAGGCTTCAAGTTTCTCTAAGGCCTTTAGACAATGCCAGTTGAGCCCCTCTGAAGTGTCAATTGTGCAGTTTCAATCATTCAAGCAAGTAAAATTTGCAAGTAAATTCAGCATTTGAGGGTTTTATTTATGCAAGGGAGCCCTTGTCTTGAGTTATGAACCTTTAGTAAGCTTCTTCGAACGTAAGCGTTTAGTCAAGAGAATACCGCATGGCCTAAAATGAATTTATTTCTGCTTATTTCTTTCTTCTATTTCGTCTGTGTGAAAAGTGTGCAAAAGCAAATATTTATTTGAAATTTTAATGTAAAATAGCAAGTATGTATGTAATGTATACGCGTTTTAAGGTGCGGCAGTTACCGCGAAATTAATCACGAGTTAAAATGCTTGCAAACAGTGACAGGAGTCTCGAAATATAACGTACTCTTTTGACATTGATTTATCATCATTTCTCTTGCAGCTTGTACAAACCTATCACTATTACAAGACTCCCTCAAGCCTGTTCTTGTCGTAAAGGTCCTGACAAAGATTTCACCTGGACATACGTGGTCTAACTACTCCGAAACAGAGTTTTGTGAGGTAATGTGGGTAATTACAGTCAAATCCCGCTATTACGAACCCCGCTTAATACGTGCTTTTCTTTATTTCGAATTGAAAATCCGTAATCCTGTTCCTTGCTAAAATATTTCGTTTTGGTCAAATTTTTCTGTCAATTCTGAAATTTTATCTAGGAACCTAATTCCAAAGTTCCGATACACTTTGCAGCTCTGATTGGTTCTAGGATACAAATTCACTGCAAATGATCCATTTAAAGCGTAACGAACTTTTTTATTCCTAATAAATGCTCTCGTTAAAGCGAACTTTTGAGATCAATGCCGAATCTCGCGATCCTTTTAAATGCTAGCCAATAAAATCGTTGAGCCAGGAACAATCAGAGAAAGAGCAGAGGACTACAAAGAGAATTATGCTCACTTTAAGTCAAGCTAAGGTGGCTAAAAGCAAATCCGAGAAATGAAATACCGAACAAGACAATCACGAAGAGAGAAAATCTATTGATGAAGCATTCGTTGTACAACCACCCACGTAAAGTGAAAGTTCTGAGTGTACTTCAAATGCCAAGTCTCTTTTGTGCTGTAGTTTTGGTCGAAATGCGATGCACAGTAAATTCTCTTTCACGATTGTGTTGCAAAGTCATAAGCCACGAAGAAAAATATATTACTAATTTTTTCAGAAATGCTAGGCTACCAACCGATTATTGATATGAATTTTGTTTAACATTTGCAGCGAATATTTCTGATTGTCAACTATTGTCATTTTATTGGAAGTAAGCCCTAAATGAAGCAATGACCTTATAAGGCCTGAGTAACTGAGGGAGTGTCCAACAGATGTACTGGTCTTTGCTGGTCTAGAACTCTGCGAAAATAATTTCTTTCGCTAGTTATTACCGCTATTGCAAAAAATTGTTTCTCATTACAAAGTTTGCCCTGGCGGGAATCAAGTAAAATGATTAAGTAATTAATAAAAAAAGAAAGTATCATAATTGCTTTGCTTGTCAGAAGACATTCAGATAATCAATTTTGAACTGTTTTTGGACTGATATCAGTGATACAAAGTACTGATAGATTGGACTGATAAATTTTGTGTTTGTTCTAGGAATTTCGTGAGCCATTCTTTTTGAAGACCATGGTATTTGACCAAACGTTTCCATCCTCCACCAGGCTTAAATTTGTGCTTTACGATGTTCGAAATCGATTGAAAGGTGTGGTAAGTCTGCATTCCGTGCAATTAAGATTAGATTTCTTGGTGATGATTTCAGATCCTTGCCATCAGTTTCTGTTGATTGGTCTCACAATTTTGTGAATCTATTCGTTTTTATCTCATTCATAAAATTCGCAGTATATGTTTTTATTTTTACAGCGATTTTAAGATGATTCTCAGTAATAATGTCCTCATATTTAATGCCATTCCACTAATACGGCATTCTCCCATAGGTCGTTGGACTTGGACAAGCCATCTGCTCTTTGCAAGACATCCATCAAGCTCCTGGATGGCGTCTGACGCTGTCTTTAATGTAAGATAGTAAGGGAATTTCACCCATGCCAATTTGTTCTCAGAATTGTTCTCTGAATGTTGTTGCTTCCTCTTATCTTGAGCTTTGTCGCTTTCTAACCATTTGCTTGTTGCCTATTCGCGTCCATTAAAAGTCCCTTATTTAGTCTTTTTCTTTTCTTCAGAAAGCTAGAATCAAAAGAAGATATCGGTTGCATCGTCTTACAAGGCTGGAAGGTATTTCTTATGTCAAGACTTTAAATTTTCAAAGAAAGGTTATTAGGTTGAAGGCTTGATTTTAACCGACTTAGATTTAAAAGACATTCTTTAAGCCTTTGTTAGTTGTCATCTCTCCATTGTCAAAGAGCGATACACGTTTTATCTAAACAAGGATGGATCTGCAAAAATACCGTAGTTATCTGAAAGAGTGCTCATTGAGTTTTAGGGCTCATTCTTTGAGCTCATTCGAGAGGGGCGCTCATTAAAAATACAGAATTGAAACTAATTAATATATCATTTTCAAACTAAAAGCAAAATATAAGATACAGGAGATAAAATATAGGTCTGTTCACATTGCAGCTTTATTTCAATGTCCATATCATCGTCTTCATCTTCGTTTACTACCATAAATGAAAGAACCTCTTCTTCATCTTGTGGTCTGAACGATTACCATGTAGCGTAGCTATTCATTCTTTCTCCTTTCTGAGATTGGGTCGCTTGCAATTCAGGTTGTCTTACATGTTAACTTTCTCTCAAGGGTTATCTCTCGTTTTGTTTTGATTTGGTTTAGTTGGCAATATAATAATGTAAAGCATAACTGAAAAAACTTTTGTCTTTTCGCTTTGTCCATTCTTAAAAACTAATTAGTGACCCTTTTTCTGGTTTGAGGGGGGCGCTCATTTAAGCCGGCGCGCTCATTAAACTTTTCGCCATCAGACAGAGCGCTAATTCAAGGGGGCGCTAATTCAAGGGGGCGCTAATTCAAGGGGAGTGGTCGTTTAAGCTCTTTCAGATGATTACGGTATGCAAACTATTCGCATTCCTTTTCTCACAAGAGCGAAATTGAATTACTCTTAGCTTTTTTGAAAGTTTTATGGTTACTTGTCTACTACACATATTATTTAGCAATGTCCATTTTCATTCTGGCATAACTCACGATTTACTATCAGCCGAGAGGGCTTTTTGTGCTTTTCTAAATTTTTGCTTCTCACTACTGATTTTTGTAGAGAAATCTTGGAAAATCGTTCGATAGAAGGCAAAACTCAATCGATGTAAGTTTAATTAATAATATGTCAATCTTTTTATTACTGTGACCAATGCATGTCCTTCAGAAAGGTTGAGAGAAATGGTCTTGCCAGAAGCCTAAAGGCTTAGAAGACCAAAGGTTTTTCAACCGATTGTGATTTAAATAACTCGAATGGCACGAGTCTCCGTATAAACCCAAAAAACAACAGATGATACAAATATACATTTCCATTCATATATACATGTAAGATTATATCGCTAAGACATATTTAACCCTGACTTTCAAAAGGAAATACTTGTATGGAATTCAAAGGGCATTCATATCATAGAATTGTACAAAAACCTCAAAGAATTTCATTACTCTAAATCATTTCGTTGTGTAGTATGTTTTTTGTTATTTTATTCTCAAAGACTGATACAAGCATATGATGAATTTGTAAATCAGGCGGAGATTGAAATTATTCTCGGGAACATTCTATAATCTGCACTTCACTCTTGTTGTCTTGTAGAGTGCTAGTTTATCATTTGCATTTGTTTGATTTTTAGTTCATTAAAGGATATGGTCAACGAGATTCGTCTGCTTTAATTGAGTACCCGAGGTATTATTATGCTCCTTTTATCTTAGCACAATGCAGAGCTTACTCAAAGTTGCATTTTTAGATCACTGAAAGCAACTTAACCCGTAGAAGTGCCTTATACCCTTTTCTTTGTCAGTAAATTTAAAGCATTCATAAGGTGAAAGAGATACAGGAAAATATATATCCTGGGAACAACGTGTAATTTTTCAATCAAAACACACCACTCAGCTAATCACCCATTGCTAATAAACCTTATCAATATAGCGAAAAATTTTCAATAAAAATATAGTTGGATTTTTCAGTTTTTTTAACTGGTCTTGACTTAGATGCCGAAATTCACCGAAAATTTTTATTTAAATGTTCCAAGGCTGACAGTTTGCTGCTTTATGATCCTTAAACTTTTGATAAATTTCCTGTTATGTAGACGCTCATTCTGAAGTGACTTTTCGTTTTTTTACTTTGTATCATTAACATTGCAGCATTTCTTTTGCAGAACATACATTGGTAATGTTTGCGAGCAAAGTTTCCATTATCCTACCAAGTGTGTAGCTAAATGCCAGTTTATTTCACCATAATTTTACATATCGTCAATTAGAGACTTTAGAGAACAAGTTTAATTCATCTGTAGAGCAAGGATTTCTTTTCATGCTTTGAAGAGCAAACTAATTTCTATTAGCATCGCGGTGGTTTTGAACATTGTTTAAGCGTCGTTTTTATAAGGCGTGTTTCCGTTTTAGTCGCAACAAATTCGTGTTTAATCATCCTTTAGGTGGAGGGAAACTCCAGGGTTGCACCGAGCAGCGTTATCATATAGCTTAGAATTATTTCCTTTCTATCTCTCCCCAAAATTAACATGCCAAAACAATAATATAGAGTGAAATACCTAATTTTCTATCCGGGTGCAATTTAAGATATAATGTTAAATGTATGCTAACCATAGTGTACTCTTAAGTCATTCACAAATGTTTTTCAAGTTGTCTGCAAAATAACATTCATCACAATGGTTTCTTGAGGGTGCTGTTGTTGACAATAAGCAAACCACACACTTTGTTTTTATAAGAGATGATGATGACGTAAAATTCCAAGAGCTGATGGGAGAATCAACTATCCCGTTCAACATTACTTGTCAATTGTTGTAAGTATTGTTTTTCTTTCTGAAAATATGGTAGCCTGTAAATCACTGTACCACTCCTTTTTATTATCATCCCATTTAACATTTTGCCTGAACAATTCCACTGCAAGCCAACTTTGTTCAGTTTTTGAAGAATTTTGCTATGTTGAACAATGAAGACTGGTAACATGAAGCTTTGGAAACTACGAAGCTATCCAATATGTAATTTGTTCCAAGGCTTTTTATCGCATTTCTGTTGAGATACTGATGACATTTTAAAGGGCTTATGTCGCAATAACAGTTGGCTAATAAAACAAAACGTTTAGCGTGGAACTCCATTGTTTCGTGACATTTCATTTCTTCTTCTTGAATTTTTACTGCCGTTAAAATTCATCCTCGTATCCATTCTTTCTACTACATAGAAGAGATAATTGTATTGCATTAGCCAATCATGTTCACGACACATGTCTTATATTGAAACTCTATATGATTTCCATAAAAATTGGGATAAGGGAATAATCATGGTTATTAATAAATGCTTCTCAGTGCAGAGCGAAATAAAGCCTGGACACCCCCCCCCCCTCTGCAGTCTCATTCACATACAGTTTATGTTCCTCAACATAATGGCGTAAATCACCATGATCTTTTGTTACATCAGTTCCTGTCGCTTTACAGGAAAATCTACATAAATGAAGAAAAGGAGGCAGTCCTTGAACTGCACAAACTTGGAAAGGTTTGTTTAGAATTTGAATTTTTAATTATCCATTTCATTTTTATTTTTTAATGAACCTCAGCATTTTTTTAAAGTTTGTCTCGAAAATGCAGATTATATCTTGAGTGGTTAAATGCAATAATTGGATTGCTATGATTTTAGACATAGCAAACCTGCCGCTGATCAAAGATAGTCTATAGTCTTGTATGAAACCTGTGTAATTTCGGCAAACATTAAATTTTTTAATGATGACTTCCATTTCGGTCTTTTGAGTGCTGTGTTTAACAGCAAACACCTGAATATCTAAGCAAACATCCAAATGCCTGGTCGAGCAAAGTCGAGTTTTAAAGTAATATAGATATCTTATTAATGAGATGTAAAATTTTATTAATGGAAATCTTTTTTAGCTCGACCGAAATTGGGAGCAAGTAAAGAACCAACAACAGAACGATCATTTTGATTTGGTATCAAAATTTAGCGAAAGTTTAGCTGATCTAGCCTCTTACAAAGGTAATTTTTTCAGCATCCTTTCCTTTTGTTTGATTACGATAATCGCCTTCTATTTCTTGTTGAGAACTTTGAACCTCTGTAACAATAATTACTTAAACTATATATGTCTTATTTTGTAGCTTTAAATAAAGTCATTTATCATTATTCATCTTTCTGCCAAGAAATATTTCCGTCTAAACATGCAAATCAAGCCATGAAACACTATCAAGTTATCTTATCGCTCATATAACTTTACACTCATTCGTTATCCTAACTGATGAATTACTTGTTATTTTCCGCATTAGCTGTTTTTGCGCTTTTTTATGACAATCGAATTTCGAAATATATATTTGACATTTTAGCTTCGTCCATGCAACTATTTGATTGTGCAACTATTTTCTTTGCAGAAAGAAATTTTAAGAAAAGCTCAGAGAAAGGCGATAAAGAATTAGAGTTTGTTACAACAAACTTGCATGTCCAAAGAATAAGAGTTATTGACAGAAGTGAAGGTCAGTGCAATTTTAGCATTCGATTTTCTATTTATTCCTGACAGCCTGTTGGTTACATGTAAACATTGCTGCAAATTGTTAAAGCGGTTTTGATTTGTTTTATTTTTGACGAGACGTTCAGGGAGGTTTCATTTCGTTTCGTTCTATCTTCCCAAGAATACATGCAAAGTTGACAGCGTGTTGATATTTCTTAGAATTCTGCTACGATGTAATTACATTTGGCTCACCATCGGCTCACTCGCTTAAGTTCCGGCATGGGGGACTCAAGAGACTTCTAGATGACGATGCATCACCGAACGAATCGCTCAGGTAAGATAGGTCATTTTGCATAAGTGAGAGACCAAAGATTATCTTTTATAAATGATTACCTTAACATTTCACTCTCTAGTAATATCTTAGTGATATAAATAGGGTATTTATACATTTGTTTGGAGCTATTTAAAATGCAAAACCACCTTCTGCGCTTCTGTGTGGTTTTAGAATCTGCTTCCCTCTCTTTTAAAGTTCGCACTGGGTGTCATCCTCTAAGCATTCTCTTTGTAATGAAAAGGACCACTTACTGTAACCACCATGTCCTGTAGGCAACAGGAATGCTAATTCAAATTTCCACATCCACCTTAATAAGGCGAATCTGGTTGTGTGACCTCTTTGCGAGTTCCCCACCTACTGCACTTTCCCATTTCAGCATAAATAAAAAGTTGTTTATATACTGCAGTCAACACCTTTTTTTAACTTCAAGTGCCTCAGAAAACGAAATCGTGCTGGCAGCGACGAAAGCCCTTCGAATTAAAAGTAAGATGCCATCCGTTGTATAGTATATTCCATTATAAGAAATAGATTTTAGAATTTTTCAATTACATGTATTAAGGTACCTAGATGAAAAAAATTTTAAGATGGTATAAAAACTGCAAGGCTTCGTACCTAATATGTAGATGGTTTTTATTTAGATACTATTATAGTATTTAGGCTCGAATTGCTACCAAAGGCGACACTGCTACCAAAGATTTTATATCTTTTCACTTGGGAATATTCGTCTTGTATGTGAGAAAATGCACATGATGGAAAGTGTTTCAATCACAGTGAAAAAAATCAGAATGAAAAAAATCAGAATGAAAATAATCAGAATCAAAAAATCACAATGCTGTGGTTTTATTAAAGGGCCATGGTGAGCTATGAATCTGCTTGTAGTATTCTGCAATTTCTTACTGACTTTTTAATAGCTAACTTGTTTGGGAGTGTGAATAAGGGTTCGGAAGCTATTTCGCATATTCGTAGCCTAATTGGAGAACTAGTCCCCATGTAAACTTTTATTAAAGCCGTCCAGGCTAGCTTTTGAATGATATATTGCTTTTCAGATGTTCTCAAAGGTATTCAACAGGAGACTATGCAATCACTTGATGAAATAGAGAGGTATGTCTAGTCGTGCTTTAATTTTGCCAACTTATTCCTAAGACTAAAATTTTCAAAGAATAACTTACACCAAATTCCACATCTTTATGTTGGTGTTAATTTATTCCTAGCCTAGACAACGAAGGTCTCAAGGAAATGGCGAATTTTCTTAGCAATAAGGTAGGTGTTTTTATTGGTACTGAAAATTGAATTGCGAAATTTTACTCATTGTGTACTTATTCCATGCCGATTATCAGTTTCTGTGAGTTTTCTGGTATTTCTGGATATTGCCTAGACAAATCTCTTTATTTTCTTGGAATAAATTTTTTATAGAATACTATGTCGAAGCCAATAGACTACCCCCTTCAGATCTTTTAATGTTTTCCGATATACATTTGTAACGGTGATTGCTTTATCTAACTTAGGTGTCAGGTTTTCGCCCTAGGAAAGTTTTCGCCCTAAGGAATAGAGTCCTGATAGAATTTATTTTGATACTTTTTATTTTGAATTCTTCAGCAAATCATAACATATGATTTTATATTTCTTTAGGTAGCTGATGTGCTAAATTTGGCATCTTCCTCTTTCGTCCAAGAGGCAGAAAAACAACTCGCAATGGCAAGGCCAAAGTCGAAAGATTCCAGTTCAGAATCGCAAAATGACTGTGGTGAGTTTTGTGACATTGCCACGTCTCATTCGTTGGTCCTGTCCTACGAGTATCCCATGAATTGTTCCAGGCTAGCTGGTAGTATAATTCGCTAGAGGGAAAACAGAACATAACACCTTGCTACATTTAAAAAAAAACTTTGAAGAGACTATTATTTTATATCTATGGCTTTAACGTATTGTGAATTTTTGCATAATTTTATTGGCATTTCAAAATATGGGCCCTGTTGTAAACAACTGAGCATTTGCGCAATTAATACCGACCAAACACAATATATGCTTGGCTAGAGACACTCCAATGACACAGCATATCTTTTGATTCTTTACATTTCTTTTATGAGAGAACTTTTGTTTCAGGTTGGGAATGGAACGATGGGCAATATCAGATGGTAAAATTGGATCAAGTTGAGCACGTATGTTTTAGTTGATAATTGTCACCTTTCTCTAAAGCTACTTGGTATTCTCTGTCAATTCTCATTCATTTGATTGCTATGTAGACCATCGTCTTTGATTTTTTAAGAAAATGCCTGCAACAAACCTGTATAAAAGTAAAAACGCCGCTTTGGTATGCCATGAGTAGGAGAAGGCGTAGGTTTGATTGCACGCAGATTCCATGATAACATTTTCTTATGAAACGATACTCTGCTACGGAGCTTTGTTAATTAGTTTGAGAAATGCTGCAAAAAGGTACGAGCTCTAAGTCAGGGCTCCAGTTATCGGGAAAAATCATGTTGGTGAGGATTTATGAAATGATTTAAACTGTTCATTACAATCTGGTATTTGTTTTTTCAAAATATTTGTAATCCATGACTGCTAATAGATTTACGATTCTTTACTGAGCGCCTTCTTGTACAAAAGTCATTTGCCTGATGTCATTAGCTTTAAAAGGATATAAGCTTGAAAGTATTTGAGCTTGGGGGATAGAATGAAACTGTTAAAGCTCTCTCTTGCTTTTTTGCAGGAAAACAATGATTGTGGATTACGAGATGAACTTGCAAAATTTATGTCACTAATAAATTTACTGACAAACTCTGCTCCTAGTGAGAATGGTATTTCATTACTTTATCTTAATACTCAATTGTTTATCTGTTGGCTGTTTTGCATCGAGACAGTCGTATCTGTCTTTGCTTGAACAGAAAGATTAATCAGGATCTTGTAGTGATAGTCAACCACTTTCTAAAACTTCCAGAAGCGGGATCTTGCCTTTCACCTACCGGGGTCAGGGCTCGCTGAGGCGCCTTGATTCTTCAAATCAAAACGTTTTGGTAGTTATTTATGCAAAAATTCTTTTTTTAATTCTATAATTGTTTTTTTTTCTGCAAAACAATAGACTTACGCCGCTGCATCCGTTTTCAGTCAATTAATATATAAACAAACTTCGCTGTAAGAAGGTGGCTGGCCTAAGCATTTCAAATATCTCTATAAACTGGCCTCTGGTTATGCAGGAAACTTCTTCCTTTTTTCATCATATTCTTTCAGTGTAAGAGAGTTTACGTAAACCTAGAAAAAGCCAGAAAAGATCACTTATACCATATCTGTACATTACTTCATGATGAAATTACTTGGCTTGAAAATCTGGCACTTTGCAGGCTCTAGTTCTTTTTGTCAACAATATCATCAACCTTATTGGAAATTGGGGGTACTAGATGCGAGTTCAAAAGCTTCGTTACACCATTCTCATTTGCAAACATAACAGTTTGTGATTATTGCACATATTATTTGTAAATGTTTATCTTATCTTAAGCTGAAATAGACTATCTTGGATGTTAAACATGAAAACCTTTTTATCTAACTTTTCGGCTAATTCATTTTGCAGCTGAAAGTAGTCTGAAGACTGCTTCTGAGAGGCTGTCCTTATCGATCAGTTCCTTCATAAGAAAAATATGCGTCATTATGAGGTTCATTTTGATGAAAAAGTTCAGCTCTTTCAGCACATGTACCAAGGAAGTACAGTACAGAAGAGATGTCGTCTTCGCACAAGTGGTTTGTTTTCTATCTCTTGAAGAAATAATTTTATAGCTCGTTCACTCAGTTCTTCTCTATGTGTCTCATCTACTTGATAAATTTTTACGGTTTGTACTTCCATATCTTGTAACACATATTTTTTGAATTTCAGCTGTCTCCTGTCATCGCTGGGTTCACTGTAAAACTTTCAGAAAGTCTTCAGAATCCAGTGTTTCTTCAGCAAATTTTAAAAATTGGACTCCTTGTCAACTTCGAAAGTTTAATAACTGCATACGGTATGCTTTGGCTCTTCTTTGAGCTAATTTTTCAATGCTTCAGTTGAACGTAATGTCTGAATGTATTGGTTGATTGTATTGGCTAGACGTATTGGTTGAGTGTTTTGATCCATGTACGGGACATCCCAAAAGCTTTATTTCCTTGGGTTGTTTATTCCTGATTTTTGTGTTAGTGTTCGGTTATATTTAGAAAACGAGACACATAAGAAAACATAATCAATTTTCTGAAAACTGTCCTTGGAATAAACATTATTTTATACTAAAGCAATTACATGGCAGATTCTACATTCTAACTAATCTCACACTAGATCCCTTAAAATCTTAAAATATTCAGACACTGGACTTGGTTGTCGAGCGGCAGAAATTGCATTCTGAATTGTGGCCTGAGAGAGACAGTGTGCCTCAGAGAAAATCCTCCCAAGTTACTCTTGGCAGATTCTTCTTCAAGGATGACCTCTCTTCCACCTCCCACATACAGCATTGAAGGCACTTTTCAATGGCTTAGAGAAGCTCTTGTCATAAGGCAGAAATAACAAAATTAAGCCTTTGCTTGTGAAATGATTAATTAAAAGGAGGTTCTCTGTGTGAGGTTGTGGCCATGAAGAATTAGGCGTAACTTGTTTGCTGGGGAGCAGTTTGTCTCTTTAACAAAATATTCAATATACTTCTGTGTTCAGCCAATTTCCGTACATTTTTCTAGTTGTTCCATATAAGCGTGATCCAACAGATTTACCTTCATTCTTTTTATTCCAAAAACCACATTTGGGCGATTATAATTGTCAGTTGCATTCGTTGTCGTTAATCGTTAAGGTGGATGTATACCAGATTTTTTATCAAAAGTAAATTTTAACATTTTTCGACGTTTTAATATTTTACATAGAGTAATATATGTAAGAGTTTTAAGTGAACATTGAACGACAGTGCTACTGAATTTAAATAAAAACTGTTCTTTGATTATTAAACAAAATGAGGCAGTGGTAACCAGAAGAAAAGCACTGGACCTTGGTATGCAATCTCAAGAAAAAGAACTGTACAAAGTTATGGAAACCATGTCGTATCCAGTTCTTGTTTAGAGGAAGGATTTTTATCAGCTGTTGTTTGTGCCAGCTGTCGAAGCCCGAAAGGGAAACTCGTTTTAATGCAAGACGACAGCAAAAGAATTGGGTTACATGAAACTTTTACTTTGAAATGTAGCAACTGCAGCGAAGAATCTACATTTGAAACTGGGAACAGGGTGCACAATGAGCGTACCGAAGTAAATGTGCACTTCATTCAAGCTGGTTTGCTAACAGGGATTGGTCTGACAGGTCCGCAGAAGTTTTGCAGTACTCTGGATTTACCATGACCAGTTTCTTCTAAGGCTTATAATGCAACAGTCAAAGAAATTCAGATGTCTGTTGACAAAGAATGCCAAAAATCTCTAGAAAGTGCTTCATTAAAGTTAAAGAAATTAATGAAAGCTTCTGACCCAAACTGTTCTGGTCTTAATGTTGAAAAAGACATTTTTCCTGTCAGTGGATGGTACATGGCAGAAAAGGTATGGTTTTCCATGGATACTTTAGAAGTCCTAGACTATGAGGTGAAATCCAAAGTCTGCTTTCAATGTAATTCAAGAAATTTGTGGCATAGAGACTCCAAAAAGTATTTAGATTGGTACAAAGGTCATAAACCTTTCTGCAGTATAAATCACACAGTCTGCTAAGGCAATTGAAAAAGAAGCAGCTGTGGACATTATTAGAAGGTCCTTCCAAACTGGGTTTGAAATACACAACTTATGTTGGGGATATGGTGACTCTTCTTCATTTGGTGAAGTATCAGATGCTATGTTCAAACAGTTTGGAGAAGAATATCTTGTTTTGAAGCAAGAAATTTTGTTTGTGTTTCCTACATGTCAGGTGGTTTTGTTGTTGGCAAAGCTGCAGAAACAAAAAGAAAATGCTCAAAAAGTGTTACACAAAAAGAGGCTGACAATGTCAGCAAAGAGGCTGACATTATTAACATTTGTTTTGTTGACGAGTCTAATGTTATGGTACCTTTCATGTGGAAAACTTTAAATGCGTTTTTCTCAAAATATCATTTGTCACATTCAAGAAAGAATATCTCGTAAACGGTATGTTAGGAAAAGATGGTTTTTGGAGAGTATATTTGATATACCATAAGTACTGATATGAGCAGAGGAAATTTGAAAATCTGATGCTAGAACATTGTTTTAGTTTCCATAGCGATAGCTACCATATTTGAATTTTCAGAAATTTAAATTATAGTTGGATTCCGTGAGAAAGATATACAATGTTGTTCTTTATTCTTCCTTTCTACCTAATTTTACAATGAAAAACTCATTTTCTTCAAGTGAGGTATATTTTTTTTATTGTGGTATACATCTCCCTTCAGCTGCATGCTTTCCTTTGACAGACAGCACCTTTATAGGTGTAGGGATACCAGATTTATTACAGTTATACATTCTACTTGGGATCAGTTTTTCTCTTTGAATGTTCTAATATAAAGTGTTGAAGAACTTATCCACTTGCTCTTTGTTGACGCAAAATACTCTATTAAGTACTGTTTTCTTTGGCTCTATCAATAGAAGTTCTGGGTATCTTTTAAAAATCCATAAACAAAATCTTTAGCTGCCATACCAGTTTTATTGTTTTCATCTACTTTTTTATGTAGAAAGGATCTGACATAATCCCGAAAAATATGAATTGTATCCTTCAAATGTTTTGTAAGTTCATCCTTAGGAAGTGTTTTTCAATACAGTTTTACAGAATCCTAAAGGTATCCTATTCCATGATTTTCTGCTTGATTTTATATTAGGTGAAGAACTTGGGATGCTGGAAGATGCCGTAGTAGCATATAAAGATTTAAAGAAAGCAAAGTTTAAGGTATTTTTAATAGAATAGTATTGGTTTAGCAGATTTGAAATACCAACATTTGAATACCTCTGTTTTTTATATGCAAAATTCGATTTTTAAACGTCGGTTGGAATGAAAAAATGGTACCTGAAAGTTTTACAAATGTTTATTGAAAACGCCAGGACAGTAAACAGAAGTAAGTAGGCAGAATTAAGGTATATTTAAAGTTAAAACGCTGATGTTTCTACTGTATGTTGTTTTTTTAGTTCATGTGCGATAACTCTTGGAATTCTTTTCCTTCTTTGGAAGGAGACAGGTTTGCCAGTTTCCATTTTTCCTACATTTTAGTAAAATAATGTAACACAATCTAATGGAGTACATACTCACTGTTGTATTTCAAATAATTTACGCTTCCGTTTTCACAGAAAGTTTTCATCATATTTGTTGATGTAGTGCTATAAATATGCAGCATTTCTATGTATGCTTTGCAAAGTATTTCACGAGATCTTCGATGCACTAGCACTCGGTACTGTAATTTCCATATTAATCATTAACACTGTTTTAAATCTTCTAAAAATGTTATGTTTTCATGTTTTTATTCAGACAAGATCTGATCGTCAGCATTCCACTTCATGAAGAAAATTTCAAAAAGCTTCCATTGGAGCTTCAAAATGGATACAGAGTTCCCATATATCCAGTGGTTTTTAATGTGGGCATCAACGAGCATGCTACGATAGCTGAAAGGTTTGTTTTTAGGGATCGTTAACTTGAAGTTAATTCTTTCTCATTTCTATGACATTGCCGCCTCTTGTATCTTTTCCTGAATATCACTGTTAATAGACAAGACAGGCTCCTCCAACATCCTTATTTATAAATAGGCTCTTCCCCTGTTTTATGAATATTCTCCATCAAGTAGCATTCGCCGGCTCACGTTCTTTTTTCCTTATTCCAGATTTGGAGACATGTCAGTTCAAGATTCAATTAACGCAGAGAATATGAACTATTTGTTTACCTATTACGAGAAGTTTTCATCATATTTCCCCGAATGGAGTAAGAACTTGTCTTTTTTAACAAAAACCTATCTTTGAGTTTGTGTCTTTTCATTTCTTTTTTAAGTTGAAGCAAATTCAGCAAATGGAGTTTAAACCTTTAATATATTTTCCTTTATCAGTTGGAACAAATTCAGAGTGTCAGACCTCTTTGGCAATGCTTATGGTACATTTACAAGTTGTCGTCAATTCTAAAAAGAGTAAAAATGTAGACATTTTTTGTCTCTGTGAAGAGGTAAGATTTGTTTTCTGTTTATCTACATGCTTTAAGATGACAGTTACAAAGCAAGGCGTATTTAGAAATTTCCAAGTGCTGCTCTGTTCAAACACCAGAATATTCACTTCATTGCATTCAATTTGGTTTTGATTAGAGCTCGAGAGCGTAAAGTCAAGCAAGTCGAGCGAATGGGAAAAGTCGAGCGAAACAAGCATTGTCAATCAACATCTTTTTTGTCAAGGTTCCTTGGTGCTGTTGAAAGGGTTGAACACCCTACGCAACCACAGCTTCGGGGGGTGAACTAAGCCTAATTTTTGACGGGGACGTGCCATTTTGGTTAAAATTTTGGAACCCATAATTCCGCAAATGTCTGAAAAAATGTGACCCATAATGCCGCAAACACGATGAAAACTATACCCATAAATCTGCAGAGCAAATAAAATTTTTAAAGCACATAAAAAATCACTAACCAGATTTTGCATGTTCTTTGCCCAGAAATCTTAGTATTACACATATTTCATATTTTTATTTCTAACTGGACATTCATTTTGTTAATGCTTTATCTCCCTCTTAATAATTTTACGAATTTCCGAAAAATGGTATCCATAATTCTGCATGTTTCTTCAAATGGTATCCATAGTTCCGCACAAATTTCAAAAACTGATACCGATAATCCCACACTTTTCAGAAAAAAGGTGCCCCTAAATAATGGCACGTTCCCGTACCTTCAAACATGTCAAGGCAGTTAAGGTAGTAAATTTTTTTAGGATGTCACTACTTTTCTATGTTAAATTTTTTTTACAATACAACCTCTTCATTTAAGAGAAACCTTTACAGAAATTTCACACCTGCAAGATCAAAGGACAAATGAAATAAGTGATATGAATGACTGCATATAAAAATTAATAAACGGGGGGTCCAAATAAACTCCGGGGGGGGGGGGGGGTAAAAAAAATCAAAAAATTAATAAGCGTCCCTCCTTCTATTAAGGACCCTAGAGTAACAAGGTTATTTAGCTAGCCGTTCTCTTCTCAGCGTTGCATCACAGCTATTCATTATCACCTAGTTTACAATGCAAAAGGCTGTCAGAACTTTTCGATTCTATTCACAACTGATCCGGCGTCCATTTACATATATGATTGTAATTAAATAAGTAAACGTTAACGTAACTTGTAATAAGCCTCATGTACTGAGAAAAAATTTGAGTTTGAGCTTGGTCACTGCAAATGGTGTGCTCCTTTGTTGCTGCGAAAGAGGTTGACTGCAGTGGAGTACTGAACACGCTGCGCTCTCGAAATAAAACAGCTTTGCTCCGCAGAAATCGGTTGGAGGGAAGGCCGACAGCGCTTGACATCGAGGCAACAGCGTTTGGAAAGGTGGTCAGCACATCGTGTCACATTGAGTCTCGTTGCTATTGAGTTGTTTTCGATATTTTGAAACGATAAACACGATTGTTGACAACAGACCGAATGTGCAATTGACGATAATGCGAAATGCCAAGGTATAGATAATGAATGCTAGAATAGTATAGAAGTTGACTAACATACTCTGTCTTGACTATACTCTGCCTTACTTTGTTTTGCATTTTGTGCTCTTGGATATTGCTAGATTTGCCAGAGAATGAATGGTATACGACTTACGACCTGCAAGAGCGCAAAAGACAGAACTGCCATGGCAGTGACCCTTGAAGCAGCAAGGATTCTGCAGAGGGAACACAGATTGCCGCAAGATTTATTTTTGAAAACCCTAAATACAATGAGATGGTAAGCGCCATTTTGTTCGTTTTAGTTTTTGTTTTTCGCTGACTTTGTAAAAAACATGCGATGCCAGGTTATCAGAGTCATCTGAAGGAGGACTCAGCTTTTAAAAGAACTTTTCAATGTAGTTTTGGTGTATGTTTTCTTTTTGCATATCACTGATTTTTTTTTATTTCACTTTCAGCCAAGGAACACGGCTGGTTAATTCTTTGAAAAACGTCGGGATACCCAAATATGCTTTCAACAAAATGCAAGTTAGAGCGTACCCAAGCCTTTACAGAGCTCCTGAGGGAACATATGGGAAAAATGTACAGAACTGAGTGAAAAAACTGGAAAATCACGTTTTTTATCCAGCCAACTTAGAAAAGGATAATAACTTTAACTGAAAAATCATAAGATAATTTCCAAGAGCTATTTTTCTTAACTTGCTTATCTAATTATTCACAATGTTATCAACTTGATTTTATTAACAATGTTTAGGAGACCTGTAGCGTGGGTGCAAGAGTTTGTTAACTTCTAGATATCAAGAACCATTAAATAACGACAGTTTTTTTTAAGTATTAATCTTAGATTTTTTACACTGCTCTCTGATAACCATTCACGGGTCAGTTACTTGATAGGCCAGGGATTGATCGAGCATTAAATACAACTGCAATTCTTTTAAAACATTTTAACCCAAAAACAAAAAAATTACAGCGACATCCAAAACTACTGAAAATCAGTGGAAGGTGGGGACAGCAGATTTCTTTCCGGAAAGGGTCCAAACATTCTGCAGCCGAGCATTAGCAAGAATTCTTTAAATAGAAAACATAAAAGATCACAATTCACTTACTAAGACAGTAATCCTAATAGAATTTGACGTCTATTTACGTTTGAAATAAATATATTTTGTACAAATCTAAATTTCTATCATTTAATTTTCTAACATTTATAAATTATTTACAGATTAAAGCAAGTTCTGTAGATTGATTAATTGGGCGTATGATTGTATTATATTTTTGATTTAATCTCAGTATTTACATAAGAGTTACAGTTTTAGTTCAATCTCAAAATCTAAATTGAACCTATCACTTTTCTCTCGTTCAATCGCCTTGTGATAATATTTGGAAGGTGTTTTTTGTTCTAAGATCGGCAACATTTCTTGAAACGCCGTCTTCACCAGGAATTCTCGCGCAGATATCAATGTTCTAAAAAATATAAATAAGAGAATTTGGATAATTCGCCTGCTTTCTTTGTCGGTACGCGCTTCGAACTGCTGCTCTGATGTCAATGAACTAGCATCACATTATATTGTCCTTTTTTATAGTTTCAGTAGCTTAAAGTTTTCATCGGATATTCAAGATAGTTAATTGAGCAAGTGTTGTGAATAAGTGCAGAACATTATTTCCTTCATATAGAACATTATTTCCTTCATATCTGTATGGTCTTTATTCACCCTGGTGGCCTATAATGAGGGTAGACGTTCCAAGAATAAGTTTAGCAGCATAGCAAGCGGAATTATTCATGAACAAGGACAAGTTTTACCATCATCAGTGTAGCACTAAAATTGCGATTCATCATTTTTCATATAAACTGGCTATGCTAAACTTACAAAATATTGATTAAAATACTTACTTGTTTGGGAAAGAGGAACTCAAGTAGAATAAAAAAGGCCACATTCAATAAAACCAAAAATATATAGATCTTCCCTGCAACTGGAGCAACCGCGTTTAGCCTGGAAAAAAGAATAAACGACAATTTCCAATACAATTCATGAGAAAACAATTTATTTGAGGCCTGAAAATCTCTTGACCTGTTAAGCCGATTATCGTTGCTTCGTGGTTGTGGTCGCATGTCTCATTTACAATATCGCATGGCACATCCATATATCCAATGTACGGACGTGTTTATTCAAACAGGCTTATTGATCTTAAATCTTTAAGTGACTTGACCCGGATTACACTGTGGTTTACGAGTGTACCTTGCAAGTGCGATCAGTAAAATCCCGTTTTCTCCGGACTTACAATTCGTCTACATACAGGTACGAAAAAGCTATTTTGTACCCAAGGAACCAATCGAATGGCTCAAAACTTTGCACACGGCCAGGACAGATGTCGGGTCAGCAAAGAGTGTCTCAAAATTTTGTAATTGCTTTGTAATTTTTACAATTTTGTAATTTGTAAAAGAAAAATTGTTTGCCAATTTTTGACAGGCTATAGTTTCAAGGGGAGGAGAAATTTGAAAAATCTGAGATACACTTTTGTAGCTAAGGATCTGAGCTTACTGCTGATATAAGTCATATTTCGTTACCTCAAACGCAAGGGTAAACAATAGCTTTTGAAGGTAGTACACTCATTTAAGCAATTATTTTGATATGGTTGGAATCGCCACATTCTTTTGCATCGAATGATGTATAGTTTAATCTGATTCCGTTAATAGTTTTGCTTTTAGGGAGAGAAAACGAAATATCGTGTCAAAAACGTTTACCGTAACCTTAACGAACATCACGTCTACAGTTTTTTCATTCTTCGGTTGAATGGTTAATGAGCGTATTATTTATCTTTAAGTCAGTATAACTCTGGAAAAAATGAAAATTGGAGAAGATAATTGTGTCAAGTTGAGATAAAATGTTAAAATCTTCGAAAACTTGTAGGTGGATAGCTACTCACTCACTAAAAGAAGGCATTTTCAGGCAGACGCACCCTTTATTCAGATGCAAACTTACTTTTTGAGACGGGTCTTCAAGGAACTCTCTTGAACACTCTTAGCTTTATGGTAAACCTTGCAATAAAATTATGAAAAAATATAAAAAATAAAATCTTATTATAAAATTATTGTAATACTCATAGCATCAGTTGAATGAATGAACTTTCAAGATTTTGACGCTCTTGATCCAAAGACGACAACAAACCACTCAAAGTAATTTACTTTCAAAGCATCCGAGAAAGCATGAATAGTCAAAGAATCTTACAAGGAAAACAATCTTACAAGCAAAGAATGATATTGGCAAAAAATTATACCAATGTTAAAAAAACTTACTGGCAAAAAATATTACTGGCAGGAAGGCTTACTCGTAAAACACCTTACTGGCAGAAAATCTAATTGGCAAAAATCTTCCTGGTTTCTCACAAAATATTCTACTAGCGAAAAATCTTATTGGCGAAGGCTCTTACAGGGATAGAATCTTATTGACGAAGGCACTTACAGGGATAGAATCTTATTGGCGAAGGCTCTTACAGGGATAGAATCTTATTGGCGAAGGCTCTTACAGGGATAGAATCTTATTGACGAAGGCTCTTACAGGGATAGAATCTTATTGGCAGAAATTATAATTGATAAAGTTCTTCCTGGTAAAATATCTTTTTCGCAAAATATTCTACCAGCAAAAAATCTTATTGGCGAAAAATCTTAAAGGTAAAATATCTTATTGGCAAAAAATCTTAGTGGCAACAAGGTATTGTGCTAGTTCAGGTTCCTACCTGTTCCGTTCTCTTAGCGATAGAATCCCAGCAATAGATGCTTTGAAACGAATTGTTTCTTTTCGGAAGGCCTTTTTTCTCAATTGATAACAGAACTGCTTTGTCGAGGGCTTTGGCAATGGCTGCAAAATATTTATCATATAGTCAAATAAAAATCCTGTGTATAAAACTGGCTGAAAAAATAGAGAACTAACAGGATAGATCCATCAAAAATCACAGCAGACTCACTACCTAGCTCTCTTTCTTTTATAAAAACTACAGTGAGACGAAAAATAACAAAAGCAGGACAGAATGGAATAAATCAAGAGACACACGAACTAGCGATGATGTATCCTGAAAACCCGCAAAAAGCCTTGAACAATCTTATGAGCAAGCGTCATACAGTTACTTGATGTCGAGCAAAAATTTCACGTATACGAAAGGTTTCTTGCGACTGATTATTACGGAAATGCCTTTTCTTCATGCTGTTTATGTTATTACTTCCTAACAACTATACACTAATTTTTAACTTAAAGGGCAATGCAAGACTTGACGATAATTTTCGGATAAAGTTCCTAGAAAGACCCTAAAGACAAAACTAAGAACGGCCAAACATACGAGTAAGACCGCTATGAAAAAATATGAGCAAACTCGTGGGTGTTCAGTAAATCTAAGAAACAACAAGTTTGACACTTACACTGGACATTAGGCTCCGCTAGAATAATAAGGTCAGGCGGAAGTACTTCTGGAATGCCCCCAACACAAGTACTCACGACCTGCAGGCTTGGGAATATTAATAAAAAATTTTAAATCGAAAGGCCTAACGTGCATTTGCCTACAGAGCTACCGCAGTGATACAGACTGAAGGTCATCTCCGCTGAGAAATGTTGGAGTAATTGTCATCTCCTCTGAGAAACGTCATGAAGTCAAGCAATATATTTCTAAAGCCATGTTGTTTTTTGTGATTTGTTAAAACACACGTCATGCTCAGGTTTTTACATTAGGATACAGCATTTGAGATGAAATAAATAGGAAGAGATACTGTTTGAATGAACAGGAACTAAACGTTTGCATTACCAGAATCACATAAGCAAAAATATATACCTAGACCTAATCTGTCACAAATAAGATTAACTTCTGGAGGTTTTTTAGCACTTTCAATGAATTTGAAGTATAATTTACAGGCCATGCTAAAAGACCATATGGTTGACCTTGAACAGCTTAAAAGTATGCAAAACTGTGAATTAAATAAATTTGCGACTTTATTTATAACATACAATCATAAATCATGTTTATGTAGCCAAGTTCAAATCCACATACCCGCAAGAAGCTGCCTCTACAATTGCCATGCAAAAGGCCTCCGTCAATGAAGTGTTTAGAAATATATCACCTTGCACAAGCATCTGAAACACAACCGAGATGACAGGACAATTTGATAAGAATTTATGAAATAACAATAATATTGGCTATGAATTTTGGATTAATTGACTCAGATTGGCGAATGCCCGGCTCGTATTAGCTAAGAAACAATCACTTACATCTTTAACATCTGCATGATTCAGGGTCCCAAGCATGCAAACTCGGTCCTGCAAACCATATTTTTCTCTAACCTCTTCAATAACAACTCTTTTAGGGCCATCACCACCTTAAAAAAACAGTAAACACATTCCTATACAGAAAACTTCATATTTTCTTATCTAAAACTATATTCCGACGGAAAATTTGGGAGTTAGGATCACATACCCTGCATTGTTTTCAAAAAATTGTAAACCCTCCTCTTAACTTGCTTTCTTTTACTGCTTCGAGAACTGCTTGCACCAAACTATCAATTTTACCATTTTGATTAAGGTATGAAATGAGGTATTTGATATCTTCCTTTTTACATTTCGTTTGAAAATTATCCTTCATTATTATTAGATCTTTCCTCGTCGTTTTACGCTGTTCCTGCTTAATTTTTATAGGTTTACGCAAGGTGAAATAAAATTGTTTCGGCAATAGGTCATCTCACCAATTATGAAATCCACGAACTCGTACTTTTGACACATGATAGGAATTATTCCAGCTAGAAGATCGATTCCTTTTCTATACACTAACCGACTAGCAACTGTAATGGTCACTGCAAAAAATAACAGGGTAAGATGAATTCGATTAAAAATGCAGAAACATCCTAAATGATTAACAAGGGGCACCATAACTGTAATTATAACTAAATATTAAAAATGCGAACAAAATATATTATATATTAGCCACAATGCCGGCTAACTTGGTTGCACTGATGCACATTTGTTTTGCAATAGAATATGTATATTATGATACCTTTATCGGATTTGAGCCTTGTAGTATCAGGGCTGAAGAGTTGTGAGTCTACTGCATTGGGAATAACAGATACCATCTGAGGATCCAACGATGCACGTAGTACAGTGTTCTCCTTGCTATACATTAGAGAAAGTCGCAATGACTTATTCATGAAAATGAGACACCCAATGATCATTACTTTAACCAATTTATGTGTTGATGGGGAAGTCAATAGCAGCATTGCAAGAAAGATTGCAATGAATATCACTATATGAACAGCATTAACTATGAGTTACGGAAACGGCAAAAAGATAAGGTAAGATAAGATAAGATAAAACAGAAATCAGCAATGGTATTCAGTGGGAAAATAAATAAGCGGAAATGAAAGAAACAGAAAATTATCAATGTTTTATTTCACATAAAACCTTCCCCTCCCCTGTCCAATGATCCAAACCATTCCTTTCTGAAGCCCTGTACTTCAATGTGGATGTCATAATCAATAGAAGAATTAAGGTACAAACAACGAAACCAGATTATAAAATATGATTTGCCTTTACCTTGTATTTGAAACGCAGATCACATGACTTATGTCTGTCAAAGTAAACTCAAGAAACTTATTGGTAATAACAGAGCTTGGATCAGCAAACCCAAAAAGAGAATGATCAGTGAAGACAGTCTTTAAACCCATCGTTCTAGAGTGCAGTAGCGCATCATGACAAAGTGTCGAAAATGCCTACAAATTAAAACATTTTAGGGACTTTTTTCATTCTCATGAACATTAGTTAATATGACTTCACACATAAAACATAGTGATACAATTTATTGTGAAAGACTTGCTGTATAATTGCACTAGGTCACTTGCAAAGTCTGAAACACAGGATCTACAACAACGACGTGAGAGATATTGAGTTTTTTGAAATACGATGCATTCATGTAGTTTACGGTAGTTGACGTAGCCAATACTAAATAACAAATACCGAAAGGACAATGCAAACATTTTGTTCATTTACTAACGAATATAACTAACATTTACTAATGTTCATTTACTAACGAATAACGAATAATCGCTTTTGAAAGAGCAAGAGCGCCAATCTACCCTAGCTTTAGGAGATAGTGAAAGAAATACTCAATAGCTTTGTTGCAGAAACGTTTCTGATTATTGACAGTTGGCGCGAAATTCCAAAGTATCAATGCACTCACTGAATGGCCATGAACAATGTCAATTTGCTCTCTGATCAAAATATCTCTAAGAAAGGGGAACGTTGAGTAAATTGTTGGCAGGATGCACTGGTTGTGGAAAACTCCAAATGGAAGGTAGTACACCTGGAAAGATTGTATATATTAAGAATATTTCCGGTTTAAAGTAAGCTGCTAGTCATTATAGTTTAAATTCTTCCAAATATGATACTAAGACAATCTAGATAAATCCTCTTCTACATATTCACAGCATAATTCACATTGATAAAAGCTAGAAAAAGGATTTTCAGAAACATCAGATTGATGTGAATTGTAAAAACACATAAACAAAAAGGCCTTGACGCCATATCCAACATCTATTAGAACAATTAAGAGAAGACAATGCAATAACTAATTATTGAATCAGATCCAAAAAGAATAAATAGACATGCTGCCAAACTTCAAGGAAGCAAACAATGAAAAAAGCTCTATAAAAATAATGAAAAGACAAGATTTAAAACTCTAAAAAAGCAATAGGTTAGTAAGAAAATTAATTGAGACTTTAAAGATAGCATGTTTCGTAACTCATACAAACCTTTAACATGTTTCGTAAGTATCTCACACCAACTCTATTTGAATATTTGTGTGTAATGACAACAACCTAGAAGAGAACTGTTACATGAACAAAATCTACAAGAAAGCTCATCATTTGGAAGTTGCAGACCCACCCGAATTGAAGAGCTACAATGCTTATTTACTGTAACTTACAAATTTTTTGATTTTAGTAAATGGGTAACAACCCCCAATATTGTAGGAGTTTGTCGGCAAATCTTCCTTTGGTCCACCAAATCGATATTTAGTCAGTAAAATCGCCTAACGGTAGGTGAAATCTCTTCATTTATGCCTTCATCGATAAATTTCACTCATGACGATCCTCAGTTCTTTATCAAATCAAAATAGATCAAGTTATGTCACTATTCTCACCTTATGTCCTCTGCTCACTAGGCACTCCGACAACTGGTAAATGTGATTCTCTACACCACCCATGTTAGGATAGAAAAAATCAGAAACCATCCTGTAAAAAACGATAACGTAACTTGCTGTGTTTTCAAAAATTTTGTTAGATAGGGAGAAACCCCTTTAAATTTTGTATTTATATCATTGCTTGTATGATTCGATGATGGGCCTGGTCATCTGAGACGAGCCCCTTCTTCGGATAGTGATTACTATCTAAGAACAAAAGGGCCAAGAAGAAGATCAAGGCTTCAACAAATAAAGTGCCTCTTTTAAACACCTGATCTTCTTGAATCTTAAATCTTTCGATCCAATTCCAAAAAAACGATTAAGACGCAATCGTTTTCAAATTCGATGAATATTTGTGATGTAAATATTTTGGAAATTCGATCACAGATTTTCCAGCATAGTGCAGAAACTTTCACCAGGCACAATAAACAGAACAGTAAAGAAGACAAGTCCAAAATAAACAATCTGTCCTTTACCTTAGGGTTATAGCTTTACGAAGATATGAAAGCACGTTTTTTATCGAAAGTTATAGAAAGTCGAAAGTTATAGAAGGGGGAGAGAATTCAGTTGACGATTTGCAAAGAAGATTGACTAGCTTGAAAACTAAATGAAAATGTTAGAAACAAAAAACCAAGAAACCAAGCCCAGGCTTGTACATAAACATTGTCCTTGCACAGGAATAAATGATTGGTCACTTGGTTTTATGATTAATCAAATAATCCTTAATACAGGTTAACAAAATCTACCACTTTTATATTAAAACACCAAACAATCTAACAATAACAAAATAAATAAAAATTGTAACTTCTTTATACCATGGTATTTAGGGTTAACTTATAAAGCAGGACCTCTCTAATTAGGCAAACTAATCGAGAGGGCTTTGCAAACAGAAACAAACAAACTAAAACTTGTTTAAAAACTGAGCAGATAACCAAAGATAACCACAGAGTTAGGAACACATCAAGCCCCAACAGCCACTGGCCGGAGAAAGGGTATAGAAACAAAAGGATATTGAGGAAGGAATATTTACAATTAGAAACAAGCCACTTAGAAAAAAAAGTTACAAGGAGAGGGGTTCAAGACCAGTTGCGTACCACCTACCTGAAAATGAAGAAGATTTTTATAGTAAGATTCTATTACCCGAAGGAATTTTGACAACTTTTCTGGACTCTGGATAACCAGATAAATTACGATGCGATCTAAATTAGAGCAGTACAGTATTAGAGTATGAATTGAGGAAATAACTTTTGGATTTTTAATGATGACCGTGGCGAGCCAGCAACGCGTATGACCAATGGAAGAATGTTTTGAAGCTTTGTCCCAAAGAATTGAATGATTTTTAGACCATACAATTAAGTAATTCAAAGAAACTGGAAAATATCACCTCTAGCTGCATGGCGATTCACAAACCTATGAACAGCACAGAAGCACAATAAATCATAGGTCATGAAAGCACAATAAAGAAAGTTTTTCGGAAGATTTATAAACAAAGGATAATGGAAAGTTTTCATTTTGAATTCCAGTTAAGACTGCAATTACAAATCTCACTATTACATGGGTGTTTTGTAACTGGCTAGCCTGTTTTCACAGAATAAAACAATAAAATAATAACTATAATAATAAGAATAGTAATTGATTAGTTCCAGCTTTTCTACATAGTGGGTCTACATGTGGAAAACTTGCTTTACAATACAATGTTTGTAAAGTTAGAAGTTGGTGCCTTTTGACAATTGTTTGTTCAGGAAGAAAAAAAGTACAAAATTATGAGTAGGAAATTTGGTGGCTCATTAGTGTGAATAAGAAACAGCGATGGTTTGAAAATTGATCCTTGGGGAATCCCACAAGATATGTAACTGAGAGAAGAAGAAAACCACTTATCCAACTTAGAGCCAATGAAAATTCCACAGCAAAATCTCTTTATCCAATGATGATTTTTTAGCTTCAAGCAAACTAATATGTTCGTTAAAAGCATTATATATTTAGTGACTTGGGCAGAGATCAAATAACAGACAGAATTATGCATCTGCAAGTCATCTTTTAAAAATTGCTTATAACCTTGAAGGATTTATTTATCAAGATAGGACCTATTGTCAAGGGTGTATCCAGAATATTTAGTAACTTGATTGGAATACTATTTGTTCACACAAATCAACCTATCTTAGCAATTTAATGAGGGAGGATATTTCATTTGCTTTGCAGGAGGATATAAAGAATGAGTTTGAATCAGGATTTGGAGGATTAAGGTAGGTCAAAAACAATAAAAGGAGACTAGGAGGCTGGTAAGGAAGATAAATTACTAGACTCATTTAACTATTTTAATAGGGCCTCTTAAGTTTTGTAGCATACTTCCAGTAGGAACAAATAAAGTCAAACATTCTTAGGTTTCAAGCTTACTGCACATACTCATTATACCATTTCACAGCACTTTCATGTCATTATATGATCATAAAGTATTGTAGTAATATTCATTTTGACTCTCTCACTCTCTGTCATACTTAATTGATAATGCAATTATGTGATTCAAAGAAAAATAAAGACCTTGCTAGTTCAAGTTGCTGCAATAAACTGTATCTGATATTCATCATTTACTGAAAGCAGATGTTAATCCTAGGCTTTAAGTTCATGATCCATTTAGCTGTTTTTTGGAAGGGTTTGATTATAAAATTTTGAAGATCGAGGAGGGGGGGTCTCTTAATCCTGACTGTTTAATGAATAAAAAAGAAATGATAAAAGGGCCTCTCTTCCAGGTAAGTTTCAGTGCTTTTAACTCATCCAAGTTTTTAGATTTCTCCATTTATGGCCATGATATAATTTCAGGCCTTAGGCCTTAGATTTTATTCATTTTGAGGAAATCAAACAGCTGATTATGCACCAGTCTTTCTAGCATCCTGAGAAGATTGAAATGAGAAAAAATTTTCGGTAAATTTTTGCTTTCAGAGAGGAGGCATGCATTTATTTTCAATCTTCAAAAAATCTAGCTTCATCAAAGTTATTGTATTCATAATTAAAAGGAGACAATGTCTTGTAGTGATGTGCATTCTTATTTTAATTTACTGTGCAAGATGGTCAGAGAATCGAGAGATAATCTTGCTTTTTTGTTGCATTGTAAATACAGATAATGCAACAATTTCTGAGGAGGCATCAGTTATGAAAGTTGGATGCAGTGTGGGTGGTTCAAGGTGGTAAAAACATAATTATGATTCACAAACCCACTATCGGGATTATCCAGCATAACAGCATTCAGAATAATTGTAAAGGTTGCACTAGATATATGCCAAAAAAACTGAAATACAATGAGCAATGGCTAGCCCATGCTGGATTTCTCTGGATCATGATACAATTAAATAGTTTGCAACTCTCCTGCATTCAGAGAGAGTGTCTAGCATTTTTGAGTGAAACAAAACTAGAAAAACAACGGCAATGTAGAAAAAAATTGGGTAGAATAGAACTATAACTCTACAGCATTATAGAATTGGAGAGTTTGGAAAAATCTACAACTGAAATAAACAATAAAAACAAAAAAGGGAATTTCTCAAAGAAGCACTCTATCAGTAGCTACAATCACTGCCAAAGGTCTTAGAGGCAAATTCAGCCACCCTCTCTCCCCTTAGGAACAATGTTGATTTACTATAGAAAAAGAGAGGGATTATGGAGTACCCTTTTTCGCGTGCCTTGTATGATATTTTTCTATACTTTCAACATTGTTTTGGGGGGAAAGGGGGACGAAAGTAGTTGTATTTGGGAAAACAAATGAAAAATAGAAAAGCACAGCGCACTGTGTTGGGTGTTCCAAATAATTTTTGCAGTGATTGTAAGGCTAAATGAGAAGCACCCACCCACTCTGCAAAGTATGGCCTTTTCAGTAAAATCCTAAGTGTGCACAACCGAAATTTTTAGTGTGCATTTAAAACTTTTTATGCATTAGAAGTGTGCGCACAACAAACAATTTCTGAAAATCAGTCCAGTTTGCTTGAAAACACAGTCTGTTGCAGTCTACAGTACAGTGCAGTGGTTATTATTTGTTTTTTCTTGAGATTATTGAACTGGTAAAATTTAAACATCTCAATATACGGCATAAATACTGCTATCGCGCCTTTTTGGGCACAAAGAAATTTCCGAAATGGTCATGATCGCTTTTCTAATGTGCACTTTAAACAACGAAAAATGATATGGAGTATGCACTTGTTGAGTTTTGCAGACTGGGAGACCACCAACCCCTGTTTCAATCAGAGGACTGCTTGATCAATATTATTCTGAGTTATCAATGAAAAGGTTTATCATTAAAGACAAGGAAAGCCGCCAAGATATTAAAGTGCATTAGATCACTCGAAAATTAGGCTGGTTTTAGCAATGGATTGGGTGGTCAGATGAAGAATTTTTGAGAATAAGTTCATAAATAGTTATCAGGGTATTTCATATAACCACTTACGCTATATTGAATTTTTTTTGTTTTCGATCCATGTTTTCAAACTTTTTCTGGTCTTACAACTTCAACCACGTACCTCCGCGAAAACAGAGAGGCCGCAGTCACGATATAGAGGCTCGGCCTAAAGACCATGCCTGTACTGTTTTGCAAAATCATGAAGGGTGCCAGCGAAACATCCAATTCAGAATCTCATCGGCTGTTTTTGGGCAATTTGTTTGGAACAGTTACAGATGATGATATTAGGTAAAAATTTTACAATCTTGCCAAGAGTCTTCACTTGCTTCAATTGATGGTAACCTTCTTTACAAAACTTGAGTAGTCCGTAGCTTACATTATTTAATAGAAAAAAAGGCCTCCACTGTCTTGGTCTACAAAAAACAGTAGAGATCAGTGACTGACGACCCATCAAATTTTAGGCCAATAACTTTGGACTCGGCACCCTTCACTTCTTGCCTACGTGACCCAATTGTTATTTTCTGAAAAACAAGGGTTTCATCGAGCACCAAATCAAAAAAAGCTTCACCTCAAAACTATCAGGTACATTAGAGCAGACAGCAGATGGACGATTTAATAAATAAAGTTGCCATTAAACAACAATCTTTAGTGGTGTCTTTGCTTGATCTTAAGAACGCCTTTGGCGAAGTTCACCTCAAGCCTAGTATGGAAAGAAAGCGTTGTGCGGAAAGAAAGTCCAGTATGGAAAGAAAGCGGATAATGCGGTGCATAGTAAATCTTTTTGGTGCACAATGAATCATTCTGTGTTTTTGGTGCACAAATTATTCAGATCTTCAATGGTGCACAGAAACTCTTTAATAATTATTTTATAGTTAAATTAATAAGGGCAGCAAAATCACAATTAGGCTCTAGTTGACAGCATTTTTGGACTTAAAACCACTGTTTGAAAAACACATTAATATGCATGATGATATGCTATGCTTTTTGGTGCCACCCATGTGCAATTGGATTATCCTATTATACCCCATTGTTGCCCATGATATTGAATTTTTTTTGGGTGGCTCTGAGGCTGTTGGCGAGAACTTTTATAGTGTGACAGAACAGAACCCATTCCCTGGTTAGCCAGAAAAATTCCATCTTAGAGAACACATGTACTTGACTGAACAGCATTGAACATTTTAATATTAATCTCCTGGTTAGCAAAGATTTATATACATGGAAAGACAGGTTACACCAACCCAGACACAGAGTAGGAAACTTCAAGAAAAAACAGATACAAACTACAAAGCAAGTAGGACCCTCACAAAGATTAAGGATGAAAAGGGGCTTTATTCATAGTTCACTAACTGTTTTCAATATTTTGAAGCCTTGAGGTCTGGAGGTCCTTAAAGGTAGTGAATTCCATTTACCAGAAATAATAAAACATTTTAAACAATTGCAAGAAATGATCACAAACAATATTTTGAACTATATTTTAAGATAATTTAAAGGGCATGGTCACATGAGTTCTTCTGCTTGCTTTGCTCCCATTGGCTGCACCTTTGGGTTTTATCAACATCTCCCAATCAATAAGCATATAAGTGGCATTATGCTCATTGATTGGCCAATTGTTCATTTAAAGATGGCTGTAGTCACTTAAGCAAATCTGAAGGGTGTGATTGAAAAAACTTTCTGCTCGCTCTGGCCACAGGGGCCCTGTTCTTTCATATTTTCCCTAGGGCCTCCCAAACCTCTCAGCGACCCTGGCTGGTGCACAACTGTAATGGAAAATTTGCATCTGGTGCACAGGAAACCAACTTTCCATACTGGCCTCAAGCTGATACCAGCTGTCCCTGCCTTCAAAAATTCAGTCATTGATCTCAACCCCATTTCTAGATTTTAAGACCTGTATCAAAACCAATAGATAACATACTCCTCCGATTCATGTCTGCTGTGGCATATTGCAAGGGGACTGCCTCGTCGCCCTTCTCCTCAACCTGTGCTTCAATATGCACATACAATACATTAAATAGGATTAATATAAGCAGCTTGGCTTCACCCATTATGATGGTAATGGCCGTATGTTTCAGTCAGTACACTGGTTTCAGTTTGCTGATGATACTGCTGTAGTTACATCTAGACAACCTTGTGTTCAATTTCACTGGCCAGTGGCTTGATTTTCTGGTTTCTGCTACCTTGAATGGAATTATCCTCTCAAAAAGCAGTTTGGCCTTAATCTACAACACCTACTGTCAAATTTTCACAATGCCAAACTCGCAGTGCCCTAAAATCTTCTCCTAATATCACCAGCCATGGCACAAACCTACAGTACGACATCTATTGTTTTATAAAGTGGTACTAAAGGCTGTCAAGTCAGATAACAAATAATGTCTTTCTCAAATTTACCATCTCAAGAAGCTACAATTTCCCTTCGACTGATACATTCTGGAAAATATAAGCAGTATTTGGTCAAGTTCACAGAGCAATCTGCCATGTAACGTATTTGACTTTACCATCAAGTATCTTAACCAATGACGTAGCATCTGGGTATTCAAGGTATTCCATGAATACCCTGAGATTTTTAGGAAATAATATGTACCAATATTAAGTGAACTTTTAGTAACTTGAAAATGCTTTGGTTATTATTGTTTGTGACTAATTTTGTTGCCTTTCAATATGTTGGATTTAGTACAAATTCAAAATGTCACAAAATTCACGTTAAAGTATAACATTGGCAATGCTGCTAAGCATAGGGAAGGTGGGAATTTTGAAGATCAAACTACTTCATGTATTGAAGATCAAACTTAATGTTGAATGTAGATCAGTCACAAATACACAGAGAATGCCCTAGAAGGGACTTCCACCAGTCAACATGCTTCTTTTATGCAGCATCTAGCCTCCCTTGGTTTAAAATAGCCTCACATGGAGGTCAATATAAACAACTAATGGTTTTTATTTTATAATATAGTAAATTTAGAATTCCCTTTTATGTTGCCAAGTGTATTCAAGTATTTTGGCCTATTTTGTCTGCACTACTCAAGCGCCTTTCTTTATGTGCAGTTATGTGCTCATTGTCTTTGATGCTTTTGATTCTGCTCTTTGGCACAAAGAATTTATAGCTGCATGTAATGCCATGTGTGAATAATTTGGGAATTCTACATGAAGGTGTCATGCCTAGTTGTTTTCAGCTACTTCCTGGACTATTTAGCCCTTGCAGAACTGTTGTTAATTTTTATATAGAGTGCTTACAAAGGCAAAAATACACTACCTTGCTAGAAAGTTTTGTTAGATTTTCCAGTCAAATGTGGCGTTTTTTGGGAATGACTAGTTTATATGTTGTGACTTGAAAGTGGCGTTTTTTGGGAATGACTAGTTTATATGTTGTGACTTGAAAGGATATTGTTTCGTATTTGACGCTATATGTTGTTCCTTTCCTGCGAACACATTTCTACTCCATTGCAAGTTTTAGCAGATAATACAATAGTTTGTTAACATGTCCTATATAAGGAAACAGAAATCTCCTATTTATAACACCATTTGATTCTCTTTAATTACTAACACCCTGATATTTAGGGGTAAGTAGTACAAATGTTTGGAAGCTAAACTGCACGGATTAAATGAGAATGATGGTTTGAAAAACTGCAGGAGCAGAAAAAAGCCCTCAAAAATTTATATTGAGCGAGGTTTGTGCGGACTGTAGCCTGTGTCCCCAGGAAAGGCCTGTATAAAGTAGAGAATTCAGCAACAGCTATTTCAAAATTAAGTGAGCACTTTGTTTATCAATTTTTTCAGTAGCCGCTGAACTGAACTTTTTCCCTTTACTCAATTGCCGAAATCTTTGACGTATGATATCTGTTTAAATTTGCTTCAAAACCTGTTTCTTTCCACTTTATCACCTGTTGAAAGAAAGAGTGCTGTCAAACGGGTGGGCCAAACTCACATCTTGACTTCACGCAATAAATGGGCCTTTTCTCTATGCAGATTTACAAGGCTTTCTTACCCCTTCTATCATGACTGGAGATCAACTACACCCTGACCTACTTCTCAAAACCAAGGAAAACTGTCTGTACTTTTTAGAACTAAGCATAGGCTTCAAAACAATTCTCAACTCCAATGCTATCAGAAAGTCAACCTCATGTCTGACTTAAAACGTTGGTTTAAGTCAGTTTCATTTGTCAATATTTTCATCAGTTCACTTTGTATTTTTGGTAACTCCTGCAGCTCTTTCATTGACATGTGTGACTTCCTTTCTATTGATAATCAACAGAAACGTTATGTATATCTCCAAACATTCAAGCATCTCCATTTGACCCACATATTATTTGTTCTGCTGTAGAAGCAACACTTGGACTAACCCAGAGCTACTACCTCTTTAATATTTATGAGTTTTCAATTTTATTTTTATTTTCTTCTTCATCTTTTTGTTTTACCACCACAATTGTAAAGGTTTTATTTTGTGAAAACAGGCTAGCCAGTTTGCAAATTACCTATTGATTGTAGTTTCAACTGGAATTCAAAATGAAAAGTTTCCATTGTTTTTAAAATTTATGACTGCATGCATGAATTCACACTTATTTAGAAAATTGTAGTGATGATAATGTAAAATATTATTGAATTGGGACTTCACAAGGCCAATATGCAAAAGTGCACAGACGGAAAATTTGAGTGCAAGGGCAATATATTGTGGGCATGTGACAAAGTTTCCAGTCTGGATAAGAGATGATATTGTTGATTTACTTCAAAGTCAGGAAGATATGCTATGCAAGTCTATAAAATTGACATTTTCAAAACAGTGTAAAATCCAAATAAACCATTTATAAAAAATTATTTAAAACTCTGTCCTTTCCACTGCTTTTTGTTTTTAATAGTTCAAGTCTGCTAGGACTTGAATATGGAATGGCATGATGAATAAGATTAAGGAATTCAACCTTTGTTAATTATTTTTACTTAATTTGCTTTGGAATCAGTTGACTTGCTGTATATTGCTCGCTTTGTAAACACCCAATCAAAATACATAAAATAAGTTATAAACACTCGAGGCTGGAAAACATTTATGTACAGTTATGCTAACAAAATATTGCTCCACCTACAAAATCGTAGTAAAGCCACCAGAATTTTTTGTGCTGTTCAGTTTGTAGCACCCAATTGGAGGGAATTTAGTAATTTGTGGCAAAAAAAATTTAAATATCAGAGATGTTTGATAATTATATTCATTTGCGGAAATTTACCTTCCATGTGCAACAAGCCAAAGTACTTTGCTTTTGGTTTCACAAAGGGTACCTGCACAGGAAAGATAATCAAATTTCATAACATCAGCCTGTCCCTCTTTTTTCAAATACTATTAGAGGTGTCTGAGAAAACCATTTTATTCTTTTGAATTTAGCTTGATGTTTTTTGAGCATTAAAGTTTTCAAGAGGTAATGTCCATAAATGGAATGATCACAGTCATTTCCTATTTTCTAGTCAGTTGAGCAATTCACAGCTCTCCAACTCTTCCAAAAACTGTTGCTGGTTTTCATCATTTTACTGTATCCTCTTTACTGCAGAGATCGCTTTTCAAGTTTTGGACAAGTTGGAGATATTCAAATCATTCAGAGAAAAGATTGTGAAGGTTGGCACTACCATCTGACTGTTTCTATTGAATATCTCTAGTGTATTTACACTTTTTGTTGTGTATTTATAATAGCAATTCTAGTTAAACATGTTTATACCATTTAATTAGCAGTTTCTTTTGTTTATGGTGTTTTTCAATCTGCATGCTCAACCATGCATGACAAAATAATTATAAAAAGGACAAAGTCTGATTGAAACAATGCTGCATATTGTCCTGTAATTTCAATGAATTTAAGATAATTTATGTAATATTTAAATTTTTTTGCTTTTTTATATTAGTTTTGCTCATTTCTTCTTTTAGGGCATCTTCATAAGACGTTTGCATATGTTAATATTCACTCTTCATCCACCAAAATTGAAAAATGTATGTATATATAGAAAGTATACTTATAACTAATAGTAACAAGAAATAGTAATTGAAGTAATAAAAATTTAATTATTTTGTACCATTTGTAGTTTGTTGAAATAAAGGTCTTGGTGACATTTCCCAAGAGCTGCATAGTGAGTATGACTTGAAAAAGTATGACTTGAAGATTGTGATAACTTTGACAGTCGTATGAAACATTTGGTCCAAAAGTGACACATCTATCATTTATCTGCTATCTGCTACTTACAAAAGTGACACATCTATCTGCTACTTACAAAATTAATTGTCACACATACTTATGTTAACATATTATAATAATTAAACATACTTCATATGAAAGTGCTATTTAGTGAATTTTTTTTAAAAATCGCTGGACTTTTGTTCTAGGTGTTTCTCTTTACAATAAATCCAGATGGCATGGTAAGGCTATTGAGGTACAGAAAGCAAAAGAATTTTACCTGACAAGGTTGGTAGGGAATCTTCTTTTCTTCATCATTAGACAGGCGCTCGCAGATTGTCTGAACTTTTTACCGTCTGAACCTGTTAATTTTTTACCTGTATTTTCTGCACTATTTTCTTTTCCTTGATTTAAATTTTGGCCAGTTAGATATTATTTGTTTATTGTTTATTGCGCAATTGATTATTGAGAATTGAGCATAATTGTTAATTTTGGATATTTTCTCCTTTATGTTCTAGATTGAAAAGAGAGCGGCAAAGTAAGGACAGATGTTTAGTTGAAGAAAAGAAACCGAAAAGCTACACCGACATAGAAGCCAAACTGCAAAATATGAAAGCAACTGTTCCTGGAGTGATGATTTCAGGTGAGATGGACTGGGTAGTTGGAAAATACCGCAGACCTTTGCCTGTTTTGCGCATGCGAGGAAAGAGCCAAAATTTACAGCGTATTGATCCTTCAAAGCATTGTCATCAGCTTAAAAAGATTAAAGATGATGAAACATATCCAGGTAATAATTGCAAACTATCTTGGGGCTTTGATTTGGAAGAATCATTGCCTAAAAGATCCAAAAACGATGACCTTAAGAAAATATCCGAATCCGACCCTGTAGAAAAAGACGATGACAAAATTCCCGATAAAAACACTGTTAACGAAAGGAAATTTCATAGCGATAGGTTTGACAGTGAAGAATACTTGACTGGAGGTAATGTTGATCTATCTGAAGTATTGGTTGGTAATGAAGATGCTAGTACTCTCGGAAAAGGCATCGTGGCGCAGATTGCAAGAACGCAATCGTGTTCTTGTTGCACTGATGCAAGTAAAAATATTTGCGCACTATTCAGCAAAGATGATTTTGATTCTGAGGCACATGCCTCTCTTCCATCTAGTGGCGAACATAGTTCATCTGAAAGTTCCGTTTCATTTGAAGAAACCCCCGAACCCAAATTGACCATTGACAGTGAACGACACGAAAACAATATTGACCACAAGAAATCAGGCTGCATTGTAGATCAGTCACCGGATTTTAGCAACCTGAAAGTTGAGAATTTTTGTAGCAAAACAAATGACATTGAGGCATTGCAAATAAAACCGAGTGATTCAAAGCAGTCGATGTCAGAAAGCAAGCGTTTGAATGCATTGGCTTTGCGAAAGACTGTAATAAGTGAACAAGTTAATCACGTAAAGCTCGCCTTGAGTAGTCTTGATGAGCAGAGAAAACTATCGAATCATGTCGAATTTCATTGGTCAGATGAAGAAGATGATGAAAAGGTGACCGGCGAGGTCAATGGGGCTTCACACAAGGTAATTTTTTCTTGGGTTGATTTAGTTTTGATGTGATTTTTATATTGTCAACCAGTTTTAAAACTTGGTATAAGATTTTTGTGATTTTTAATCTACTCATCCTACAAGTATCGTGTTAAAACATTCTTGAAAGTTAGGCACCATGTATCGCATGTGACTGTTTTTTGCTTATTTCTAAAAGAGTCTTCAGCCAAAAACTTACAATCCTCATTTTTAAGCCAAGCCAATGGAACAGAGGTTGCCGAATTAATTATTTAATTTCAAATATTTTGCATAATTTTAGCCCATCTGCTAGACCTTACCTTGACAATTTACCGTGCATGTGAAAGCACAAGTTCATACGTCAGTGATTTGCAAGAAGCTTGTTACCATTGGAAGCAGTTGTAGTTCTGATGCATTCAAGTGTCTGCTTATCCTTTTCAGAATGTTAAGCTCTCATTTTTCAGTTCTCTTTGCTTTTTGCCAAAGGCCCTCAATACAGGTTCACTGTCTTGGCTTGGTCTCGATGAGACAACCAGTTCTGATGACGATGAGAATGCAAGATTTGAAATAAAGCCCCATTTTGAAGGGCCATCAGGCAAGGAGGCAAGCTCATTTTTCATTAGCTTATTCATTCTTTTCTGTATTTGAAATATGTCTCAATAGAATTTGTCACATGTTATGGTGTTTTCTTGCACAGTGATGCCAGTAGATAATATCGCTTTTCTACCCTGAAACCGTTATTGTCCAGTTGTGCCTTTCACTTCTCTGGTGGCATAAAGGCTTTGATTTCTTCGAAAAAGACATAAAGCTGTAGAACATTGTTTGAATAATTTTGTGTTCGGCTTTATAACAGTATGTTTTTGTATTCTAAAATGCCATGAAACTATCTAATCTCAACCATCTAAACATAGCATGAAACTTGGATATGAAATCCTGCGTTTACTGTTTAAATTACTAATAATGGGGAAAAAATGTCCAGCATTAAAGTTTTCATAACTAAATAGCACAAAAACATTAATTACTGATTCTTTATGGAAGGCATTTTAGGCAAATCCGTTTCGATTACCTGTTTATCATTTACACGTTTATCATACCTACCTTTTTACGGGCTTGTAGCTGTTCAAGTTGAACCAGCAGAAGGGTCTGGATCATCGCTTCAAGATGGACGAAAGATTTCTAGAAGATCAGTCAAAATTAGCAAGTTTGGCCGAATCTAGAGCGATTTCAGATTCTTCAGGCGTCGTCGACATGGACATAAATGAAGAGAAACGCAACACACTGTCAGTTTTAGAAGGTCTTCTTCAAAGTGGAAAGAAGGCGAGGTCGGAAAAAGACGATTTGTATGTGGAGTTTCTTTTCATCTAGAATTAATAAGTCAAACGTCGTTTACAATGCTTTTTGAGAAACTATCTTCTCTTTATTAGAGCTTTTAGTCTTCCTTTCCGTCAATAGTTGGTACCAGAATATTGGCAACAGAGACCATGCCATCAAAATTTTATTTTGATTTTCAAAGCCATTTGAATTCATCCTTCAATGTATTGCTAGCCCATGATTTTTCCTATTCAAATAGACCATGGTCTGTCCTAATACGTTTTGTTTCAATCCTATTCAAGTCACTTATTTTTGGTCACATGTTTAAAACTTCCTTCACCATACCACCTGAATGATACTTTATTGATTCTTCAATGATACGTATTTTGAACTTGCCTATCCATGCAGTGGTTTAGTCGTAAAATTTTAGGAAGTACAATGCAAAAGTTAAAACATCAACGCTTTACTGTATTTTTCTTCAGGAATATATCAGTTTTATTATGAAAATGTAAAGATTTGTAAGCATTGTTTCTGTTTTTGCTCACGTGCAATCTTCTACGATATAACCTCCAAGTGCATTTCAAGCTGGTCACAGCAATATATTCTAAATGACTTGCACCACTTTCATACTCAACCGAACTTTTGGGCGAGACACGTGTATAAAGTCTAAACAACTTTGTTGCAAAACCTGTTTGGTGTCTACAACTATATAAACGTTTAAGAAAAATAGACCCCCTTTTTGTTTGAGTGTTAGGAAACATTACGGCGTTATACTGCGCTACTCATTGAATACACAACTGTTTGCATGTCACATGTTAAGCTCTGTCTAATATGTTTTCTTTTTGTGCCTGCCTATCGATTGTTACTTAAGCATTAGATGCTTACTAATTGAATGCAATATTTGCAAAGAATACTACAATTTGTATGCATAACTGCTCGCTTCCTAACTATTTGATGTTTGTTAACAATCCGGTAGTTACTTAACTATCCGATTCGATTCACGTTCTTACTGATCTATGTAGTTCTTATAAGGCTCCCTGATATTTGTTTACCCAGCAATTACGACACTAATTTATTGTGTATAGATTTAAAGATTCATACTAAATTGCATCCCATGCCAGAAGCAGACAGTAGGTCAAACATTTCTACTCAAATGCTTTAAATTTTACAGAATTCAAGATTTTGTCCGCTACGACCCACTTGATACAAGACATTCAAAATACGAAGTCGACGATAAAGTGTCTGATGATGATTTTATTCCTAAGACTGAAGCACCTCTGGAAAGTAACGAGCAGAAGCGGGAATCTAGTGAGGCACTCGACAACACATATTTCCATATTAATTCTTCATTAACAGATTTGTTCAAGGACTCGGTGAGTTTCTCCTCAGTTTTTGCATTACCATCCATGGTTTCAATTTTTGCAATGAGAACATTGTCAGTTTGATATATGTTTTGCTTTTCTGAAAACTGTAGGTTTGATCCATAGCTTGATCAAATGTTTCGAACCATTTAAGAAATAAACAGGTAAGTATCGGCTAGAGGTTTCATTGACTTTCCAGGTTGATTGATGCAGCATTCAGTGGTTACATTTTCTATGTTGTTTAAAAATTGCAACGCAGCTGGAAAGGAAATTCAAATATTCAGTATCGCGTTCTGGTAACCTTTTCGTGCATTCTGGGCAGGCCATTGTGATCATAAGTAGGCGTATAAAGATTGTTTATATTTTGTTAAGCCTTTCTCTTATAAATAGTTCACCCATAAGGTCTATTTGAATCCAGTTATCTATAGCTTCTTGTGACACTATTTTTGTCTTAAATTCTAGGTTTCTACTTCTTTTACCTTTTTGAATTCACGTCATGACAAAAAAGAAGAGCAAGCCGAAACCATAGATCACAATGAGCAGACTACCCGCTTAAAGAAACTGCTTGATTCGAGATTTCTGCCAGACACTAATGAAGTTGAAGCTCCTTTCAATACATTGGATGAGGATAAAGCAAAAAAATATAATATAGAAGAGTTTTTCTTTTTGATCAACGACGAAAGGCTGGAAAGTGAGAACCCAGGTAGGCAAAAGTTTGTTTGCTGGCGGTGCTTTTACCATAAGGCTATAGGTGTGTTTGCTGTAAGTTTGTTAGCCGAAGGTACGTTGAGGCAATAAGTGCGTTTGCTATCAGTGCGTTTGTTATAAGTGCGTTTGCTGGAGTTCGTTTGTGAAGGTACGTTGAGGCAATGAGTGCGTTTGCTATCAGTGCGTTTGTTATAAGTGCGTTTGCTGGAGTTCGTTTGTGAAGGTACGTTGAGGCAATGAGTGCGTTTGCTCTAGGTGCTTTTGCCGCACGCCCGTTAGCTGGAGGTGCGTTTGCTGTTCCAGGCACTCGGTGCACATAACTGTTTCTTTGTTTTCGGTACGACCTTTTTCAGACGCTGCTGCCTTTTTCAGACGAGATAAACACAGATCCCTTGTAAACATAGTTCAGTTGTAGAGTTAATTGGTTATTCTTTTGTTAGGGTATAAACCTTTATAAAGATAGAATGCAAATTGTCTGCTTTCCTAAGAATTTTCCGTAACAGAACTGTTTTGTTGATGAATAGATTTTGGCAACAGGCTCTCTGAAGTTTGCATTATGCTCTCTAATTTGAAATATTATCCTTTTATTGTTTAAGATGGTCCGTCAGCTTTCGCTAGAAAAAAGTCAATAGAGGAGCTTACAGAAATTTTGGATTCAAAACGCGACAGATTTCGTCAGGTGAGCTGTTCTTCTATCTCATGGCGATAAAAGATTTTGCCAGATTTCAAAAGATTATTTAAATCTAGAAAATTACAATGCACCATTTTTTGGGCTTTTCAACGAAGCAAAATACACGTTGCATTTATTCCTTATGTTTGCCAGATTGCATCATTTTGAAGTATACCTGCGATCAAAATACAACCTTATCCATAATCCATGGCCTTATGAAGCCACACCAAAGACCAACAGCCAGTAATAATAGCTGCTTCTTTTGATTGCTAACGAAGTTTATCATTTTCATGACCTCGCCAATTGTTCTTTCATGTCAAAGGTAGTCCTTCCGTTCTTGGAATATATTGTGCCTACATCTGAGCTTATGGTACAAGGACATCTGCCATTGGATTATTCCTCAAATTCCTTTTAATAAAGTTCCTTCTTTCTTTTCTATGTTAAATTGTTGTGTGTTGTTTACTTGGTATTCTTTAAGCATTCTCATATTTTCTGAGAAATATTTGTTTTTTGTAGGATTACAAAAGAAAAGCAAAAGATTCTGTAAGACATCGAAAAAAACTTGGACTGAACAATTCTAAGCAGCGAAAAAACACAGCTGTTTGATCAACTTTTTGAACTATCTTCCAATAAAAGCATTGATTATGTGGACCTTATCTTTTTTTGTCGATGCTAAAGATTAAAAGTTTTTGAAAAAAATATTTATTACCTACATGAAAAACGTAATTATCTATTCTTAACTTGACATTTTATTACTTCCATGACCATAGATAATTTAGAAGTTATATTAACTAAAACGCTTTTTGAACCTACCGTTGTTTTTAATACCAAATGCTGAATATATTTTCTGATTGGGTAATTTTTTTCGTAAATCATCATAACGAATCATTTCATTATAGACGTAATAGATCTTGCTTAAGAAGCTAGCTCTTTCTTGTGTGATAGGTAGCCCTGAGGAGAGCTGCTAGTGGGAAGTCAATGCTGCAACCGATTACCTTCAAATGTTGAGTAGTTCTTTTACCCTTAATTAAGGTGGTTCTTTTTTTAACATGAACATTGTTCTTGTTTTGCCCGTCAAATTTCCATCACATTTAGAATTGCAAAAAATTGTTCATCTTCCTCCAAACATACTTTTTATGGTCTCAAAACGTCCTAATTTAAACACAGAACTACTGACAAAACAGCCGAGGATTGTTTTGTACCAGGCGACGTAAAATAATTTGTGGTCTTCCTGTGTTATTTTTCTGTTTCAAACGCCACACCCCTACTCTTCCTACGTTTTTAAGGAATGAATACCCCTGACACATGAATATTTTCTAAAAGATTTCTTTGCATCATTATTTTGACCTTTTCTACCCTGTTTCTTTATTTTCTAACTTTGATTAACTTATCATACACTGGACCTGTTTTTGGCGGCACTGAGTTTGTTGGTTATTTTTTTCAAAAATTAAAAGCACAAGAGCAACATTATTAAGTTTTGTTTTTGTCAACAAAACATACTCCACATTTTTTGGTAAAACCTCTCTCCAAACCAGGTTTGTAAGTTTGTAGGGTTTAGAACTATGACACATTTTAGCAACTGAAAATATTGGTTGTGATATTTGGTGATTCATATGCTTAGGCTCTTTATCAAGAACATTTAGCTTTAAGCTTTATCTCTTGAAGTGCAAACTATGTGCAAACTATAAAAAAGACATTTGATCTTTTAATAGCAGGCAAGCATGGCAAAGGTCAAACTTCACATGAATAGCTGCTGAGATATCACATGAATAGCTGCAAAACTATTGCATGAAACTATAAAAGGTTTTTTGCCTGTAGAATATGCCTAAGGAAGATCTTGAACTGAATCAATGAAACCTTTAATTAAAATATTCTTCGTTTTGCATATGAAGTACTTTTCATTTTGATACCATTTAGTTATTAAAAGATCGCGTCTCGTGTATCAGAAGTGTGTCATCACTAACGAACTTTGCAAGAGCATAATTTGTATGCTTATTTAGGCCTTAGAAACATGTTTAAAATTCACAGAAAAGCGTTTTCTTTGACCCTAGAACCACAAAACCTCCTGGTTCAAGGTTTTGTTTGTACTGATTCCTTTGACTATTTTCTTGCTGGGAAATGACACAGCTGTTACGCCGCGGAAGTCAGGACAGCATAGGCCCGTTCTCTGACCGCATCGGAGAAAATCGAAGATATCTCAAAATTTGAAAAAGCTATAGAGAAGCTGTTTTTTGTTTTGAACTCAGCATTAAATTCTGTACTAGAAAGTTGAAATAGAATTCTAATTGCCTTTTAGGGTTTTTTACAAAAAAATTTGGTTTCCCTGAATGGGCTTCCCGCGAATTTCTTTAACAGAATTTGTCTACGGTACCACTGCCAAAGCCAACCAAACAGGGCTAATTGGAAATATTTTTGTATTGAACTCTCTGAAGAGGTAGAAAATAAATGAAAATAGCATTTAATTATTTTTTTTTTAATTTTTTTACCTTCAAGTTGATATTTTCATCGCTCCTGACGGAGAAGCCGAAGAGATATGCACTGCGAGGCGGCCTCGCAGCTTTGAGAATCACTAGGAAAACATTAAGCTTTAGGCCGACCGGGTCGTCGAAAATCAGCTCGCGCTTCCATAGACAGGCTTATTTTGCTAGAAAAACATACCAAAATGACTCTTCATTTGTAGGAGAATAAAATTTTTGGGGTGCCCTCTCAGACAGAAAAACCGTTGACATTCAAATTTCACGCGAGCGCACAGAAAGCTGATTTCTAACTGGTTTCCACCAAATGCTGACCAGGGCACCCCACCAGGTTTTTAGCCTCGTTTTTAATCTTATTCGTGCAAAAGAAATGAAGTATCTATCGTCTATCGTTTGGAAGCGCCCGAGAAAACATTGAGGAGCACTTTGGCCTAAAATCGCGATCGCGTCGGAAATTTACGAAAGTGGTGATTCTTTAAAAATCTTCCCCTAAAACCTGATAAAATTCAGCAAACAACAAATAAACGAAATGAAATAAACAGAGGATGGTCTTTGTTTTAAAATTATTTGCAATTTTCTGCAATAAATCTACGATTTTATACTTAATTTTGAAAATCATTCAATTTTCGAAAGTTGCGTGTTGCGGTCTGTTAAATGGCAAAATATTGGCTGTCCTCATTTCCCCGAGAACAATAGGCGTAACAGCCGTGATGACTTTTCACGCAGTAAGTGAAAGCACTGTTTTGTTTTGACACTTCTTTGATTTATCAATCAATAATTTAAAATATCAGGAAAAAACTATTCTAGAACCAAGAATGATAAATCAATTTAACACAAGGACTTTGGATTCAGATGTAGGTAGCGTAAATCAGGGGCGTGGTGGGAATTTTTATGGGCCGGGAAATCAAGTTTTTAGAGGCATTCCATTTTGATGCTGATTGTTTCTTGTTGTCATAATATGTTGGAATTGAGTGTCAGGATTTAAGCCAGGATTAAGCCAGGATTTAAATTTTTGAAATTTTTTTCTACCACGAGTCTCTTAAACTGATTTGACTTTTAAAAGTTCGGATTTATCTTGGATTTAATTACAAAAAAGGCTTCAGATTTGTCATATCTGACTTTTACTTGGGAGAAATTTCCTGCAACGTCTTTTAAAAAAAAGATCGAAAGGGGTTACTAATTCAGATCAAACAAATAGAACGTTTCTAAATTTATATGATGCAGCAATAATCCGATTTTCGAATTCGAGGCATCCTGTTTCTAGTCATGTTGAACTTGGGGTAGGGGATGGTTGAAATATCCCATCTTGGCCGGCTTCTCTAAAACCTTGGAATTCCATAGAATCGGCTGACCTCCTTTTTGTTTTTGGCTGTAATTTCCTCGTTATGTATGTTGCATTTCTATATCGTAAAACTTTCTAATAGAAAAAGACTGTAATACTGCACAGAACAAGGTGTTTGTCACTGACAGATTTTGACTATGGAACTATTTCAAGATTAAAAAAGAAAGCATTGAATTGTTCTGTCTTTAAAGCTCTTTGCATTTACGCAGTATAGGTCTTCAACGCCTTTGGCTCTTAAGTATAAGTTGTCCTATATTTGGGGTGTGGGGCTCGCGCTCCCTTCCCAAATGATAAAGCCCTTCTGTTTCAAATCAGCAATCCCTTTTGTTCCTATTTTCCTAAAACAGTTGTTGGCCAATCATTCTATCCTTCCTATGCCATTGATCCGATGCACTACCGCAGGATTTTTGCCTCGATATGTCCTGTGTCAAACTGATGACAGGTGCTTCAATAAACGTATGTCGCACAATTTGCTTGAGACTTGCATGCACGTGTTGCAGGATAAATTAAGAATATACGTATTATGAAAACATTAGGTAAATCCACACGTCAATGTATAAAGGTAGCCATTTAGACAGACACAAATTAACAAGCCTCGTGGAACCAGCCATAAAGAAATCATCACTGTATCCAGCATCCTATATAATTAAAATGCACATGGCAAAATCGCATTTAAGTAGATGGGTAGGAATTAATAGTTGAATTAGGAAAACAGATTAATCACATATAAGATATTTGAATAGAAGACTAGGGTTCGAGTAATGGAAGTAGGCGGATGAGGAGATTAGAGGGTAATTGTATATAGAACATAAAAGTTAAATAAAAGTGATGCGAAAAATTTCCGTCTTTCCAGCAACTCGATTCACTTTTGAAATTAGAAGCAGTTAATGCAACAAATAGTCCACCGTGCGCCAAAAGTTGACAGTGAATTGGAATGGAGAGTTTGGAATAAGACAAGAAAAGAAAAAATTGCTTGAGATAAAGTGTGACTAAGTAGGTGAAGAGAGTGAAAGATTTGTTACGATAGAATTTTAGAATCACTTATGAGACCTCTTTCGAATCAGTTAGAATGAAGCATTTATCCCGTACTGGCAGTCTTACTTGGGACGAATGCAGCCCTCGTGGGGAAGCAAAGAGTCCTTGTGCCTTGTGGGCAGTTTTATGACAATACCTGAATTTACCACAGCAAGTTCCGATTGCACTGGAAAGCAATCAAACGACAAAAGGATAGTGATTCTTCGAATTCTCACACAATGGCCGGATATTTACATCTACTCTTTGCTATAGATTCTTGTATTTCACTTTTTACCATTCTGATGACGTTTTGTACTCGGCAAAGAGTGTCAGACAAAGAAGCTTTTGTAATAATTTCCATATCGCTGGTCTCGTGTAAATGAAGGTACCATGATGCACCAGAATAACGGCTGCAGATCTATTTCGACTTGAAAGTTTCTAATATGCCACCTGATATAATTGTTGTGTTTTTTCTTTCTTTACAGGTACAACATTACTTTTGGCAATATGTTAATCTTGTTCTTTTCATGACCTAAATAGCTTACAACTAATGTGTGCCTATATTTTTGAAAGAGATTGAAGTTCATACTTTCGATCGTTTGAAAAATGAGTGAAAAATAAAAATTTCCTTCTCCGTATCAAAACTCGACTTAAATACTTCGGCGCTAAGAAACTTTGCAAAAAGCCTGCAATTATCTTTAAGGATGCAAAAGTCATAAAATGAAATCCTAAAATCAAGGAATTTGTAGGCATTCAGAGAGGAAATAGAGAATAAAGAGTAATAGAGAGGAATCTCGTTATCAAAGGGTTGTTAC